TTGAAACAGCTTGAGCGCTGGAAAGAGCGGAAGGCTCTTGAGAAGGAGAAGGAAAAGAGAGAAAAGGAGCGTAAAGGGGTATTTAAGACTGGCCTGTATCATCCCAATGACACCATTAGCATTGTTTCCCTACCTGTGGCCCCAGCTGCTCCAAAAAGAGCTAAAGAGGTGAGCAAGGACTCAACAGTAGACTTGTTACTGTAATTCATACCCCTACCCCACTGCTTTTATTTGTTCTTACTGGATATGAAGACATAAGTAATAACAAAGGGAAACTTATTTGTGGCTGGGTTCACTTTAATGATTTAATGATGCTTGTCTTTCAGACAAAAGTGATCCCATCCCAGAGTACCAGAGTCACCCGTTCAATGAAACAACAGCAAGTGCCGCAGGTACTATTTTCTCTCTGATCTGGAACATCTTTCTGATATTAACTTCCATAAAATTAAAAGCTGTTATGCACTTTGTTGCATCATTTTTCTTTTGCCCAAATCTCTACAGCCATTGAAGAAACAAGACCCAAATACTGTGGCAAAGAAAGGTAAACTAATTGAATGTTGCTTTTTATTTTAAATGATTCATACTATCTCCTGCAACCTGGTGATTTTATTTGACTTTATATCTGACGTGTTGCTCTTCCTATAGCTCAACCTGCTGTGGAAAGATCAACCAGGACCCGGGTGGCTCCTGTCAAGCCTGCACCGGCACCAATTACAACCAAGACCAAAGTTTCTGCAGGTAACCAGTAAGAAGAAAAAATCTTGCACTTAAGTGGACCTTGAGACCAGCTATCATGTTGGTTTTACCCTATTGTGTTTCCTTATTTACATCTCACTCTGTGTCATGCCATCCTACTGTAGTGGAGCCTGCTGTACGAGCTTTGTCGACCAGATCAGCCAACAGGCCTCCTGTTACATCGGTTCCTGTGATGAAAGACAAAACTAAGGACAAGGCTGCAGGTACCGTACTCAAAGAGCCAAGGCCAGAGTTCAAGCAGGTTTTTTTTTTTTCTTTGGCATTGAAACTGTAAGACCACTGGCGGTATGATGGTCAAAGCAAACTGAGAAAGATGGTACTGTTCTAGAAAACCACTCTTACTGTTGAATATCCCTTCCCACCCACAGATGTAAGAACCACTAGGAGTAGAGCCATTGTCAACCCTGTGGCCCCTCCTTCTGGCAGAGACAGAAACTGCAAAGGTACCATTTAAAGTTGATAGTTTCACATGTGAACATGAGCAATTGTTTTTAATTTCTTCCCGGTTTCTTAATGCATTTTGTTTTTTTTTTTAATACAGCGAATGTCAACGACACCACCCAGGCTCCTGTCCCCAAGGTGAGCATTTCTGTGAGTTTACGCAAGGTGTTCAACCTGCGATGACATTTTATTTTTATTTTTACTAGTAACTTGTTGATCACATAGTTTGCTGTTACTGTCTTGTGTAGGAGCCTGAGCTGAAGGAGCCAGAGGAAACACTTCATCCTCCCAGCCCAACGCCCTGCTCTGAGGAGGAGGAGGAGGACATGATGGTGGACCAGGCTCCAGCCGACTCTGTCCCTGCTGTGGAGCCTGTTGAGGCTCCTGTCTCTTCATTTGCCCCAAAGGGGTTTGTCTTCCAGGCTCCTGTTGGCTTGTCGTCCTTCAAGTTTGAGCCTCTCACTCCTCGCTCAGCAGAGGCCTTCCTTACACCCAGGTGAGTCTGTTTTCTCTCTTTTTCTATTTTTTTAATTGTTTGTTTTTTTTAAGCTATTTAAAATACAGGAAAGCTTTCATGTTGTGATATTGTTGCATCTAAATGTCATGTTGTGACTCTTCCTACCCAGCTCCAGCTTCACTCTTCCACCAGCTCCTGTATTCAACATTGAGCCTCAGTCTGGACCAGGGGAACCCTCTCCCTCTATATCCCCTCGCCGCTCCCCACCTCGCACATCTCCCACAGTGGCTCCTCCAACTTCAGCCAGCCCCCTGGAATCAAAGCATGATGTACCATACTTCAGGTGACATATTTTTTTTTAATCTTGTAGTCATATATTTTAGTTTTATAATTAATTGTTCAGTTAATTCAGCGTTTTAAATGCATTCATTTTTTTTTTTTTAATTCAGATCGGAAATTGCCAATGAGACAGACAGACTTACGACTCTGTCTGTCCACTGGGAGTCCAAAGTGGAGGATGAGTCCATTCCAGAAGAGAGTGAGTGTATCTTCTCTAACAAGGGCAGAGTGACATCCTAAATATGCGACTATTTAATTTGCTGCTACGGAGGTGGTGGTGTTCCTAACAGGGGAAAAATGCCAGTATTCCCTAACTGAAATATTGTAATTAAGTGTCTTTATTGCTCCTGTCTGTTTAGTGAGAGACCGTATGCGTACAGCTGTCGGCCAAGCGAGGCTGTTGATGAAGGAGCGTTTTAAACAGTTCAGTGGTCTAGTGGACGACTGTGAGCTGGGCCGAGGTGAGAAGATCACCACCTGCACTGACCTGCAGGGATTCTGGGACATGGTTTATTACCAGGTGAGTGCCTCACAGGAGAGGGACAACACATTGTTTCAGACACCAAATGTATAAAGAGAAGCACAATTTTACATATTTTTTCACTTGTCAGGTAGAGGATGTCAACAAGAAGTTTGATGCTCTCAAGGAAGCAGAGGGCCGGGGCTGGGTGGAGGAGCACAAGCCCCCACCACGACAGAGGAAAGTAGTGAAGGTGAATACTCTGAAATTAATTTAGATTCATGAACACTCCATCATCATCATCATGAGAGTTTACATAGAAGTTAAGAAGCAAGAAGTGCAATGGTCTGAAAACACATGTCCTTTTGACAGAAACCATCAGCTGCGCCTGCCAAGCCAACAGGAAACAAAGCAGCAGCCAAGTCTCGCCTGGCTGCCGTGAAAGCAGCCATGAAAGCCAGACAGCAGGCAGCTGAGGCAGAGAAAGCCACAGAGGATGCTGGTAAAAGTGAGGATGACCCCAGCCTGAACTCTCAGGGACCACCACCCCAAGAAGAGGCCCAAATGCCAGACACTGTGGTCTTTGATGGAGGCTTCTTCCAGGTGGAGAGCCCAGCCAAACCACCAGGTAAAAGAAAAGTAACTACACGCCAAAGGCTGTTTCCAGTACAGTGTACTGTTCCCAGCTGCTTGAGCTTTAAGATTTGGGTTAATAACTAATTCATACATATTGTTGTCTCTGTAGGTTCAGTTAGAAGATCCAGCCGCCTGAGTGCCGCTGTGCTGCCTCAGGCCTCTCCCTGCTCCAACTATCTCACACCCAGAAGAGTCACTCGACGATCCCTTGCATTGGCACAGACTCCCGTTCAGACCGTCGCCTCTCTTGCTCAGCCCGTTCTCACTCCTGCCCACCTGCGTCTCACCCTTGACCAAACCCCAGCACAAGCACCAAAGTCTCAGGGAGGCACTCCTCAGCCGCCCCAGGAGAGAAAGGACACTGTAAATGTCTGTTTCTCACCTGTCAAAGAAGTGCTTTCAGACAACACCCAGCCTGAGGGAAGCACTGCACAACAGGAAGAACCGGTCTCTAGACCAGTACATTCACTGCCATCCATTTCTGTAGTTGAGGCGAAAGACGAACCAGCTGAAGCTGCTGATGTTGACATCCCTGTCTCTCCAAGACGCTCCCTCTCTCCACGCAGAACACCTCCTGTCTCCCAGGCCCCTGAGCCCTCATCATCTCTGAGTTTCTCGCTATCACCCTGTGCGAGTCCTAGCCAGCCTCCCATCTCCCCCCCTGCTGCTGTGCAGGGCCACGTAGAGGCCCAAGAGTCTGTGTGTTGTACACCAGACAGCTCAGTTGTTGAGGTAAACAATTTCTCTGGCTTCACTAGAATTCTGTTTTGAAAAATCTCACACTCAGAGGTTGTTTGGATCACAGCTTTGAGTGATCCAGTCTTCTCTGTCTATACAATAAACAAATTCTCTTGTAACTTTAGGAAATTCCTGGGTTGGACTTTGAGCGTTACCTTCAGCCATCACAGAGATGCAGCCTGTCACCAAGGGGGGCAGTTGCCATAGACACACTGTCACCTATGGCAGTGGATGTGGAGATGGAGAGTCCCAGAAGTCAATCTGAGGATCTGCTAACTCAACAAGAACCAGGTACGACTTATACCCATAGGCACTGTGCATGCACACACGCTGGGTACACTTTTTACCTTAACAACACTAATGGGTTTTAAAGCTGCAGTAGGCATATTGACATTTGAAGAAATGAATTTATATAATAGGAATTTGAGAAGTAGTAGTTTAAAAAGAAATTCAGATCTAAAAAAAAAAATAGTTTTAACTGTCAAGCCTGAGACATCAGATCTGCATACTGCAGCTTTAAGTACAAATGTTGTGATTTTGTGGTTTTTCTTCTGGCGTTGGTTGATTTTAAACTGTTACAAATTGCACATTTTTACTATTGTTGCTCACGGTTATGCTCACTCTCTCACTGTTGCCACAGCAATGCCAGAGGTGCCTTCAGTGTTAACCACAGTGTCACCACAGGTTAAAGTTTCTTCCATTTTTTTTTTAAATTTCTTATCTTCCAAATATTGACTTTGAACAGTTACCTATACTCTTAACTAATACTTTTGTTTCTTTATTGCAGCCTTAACATTGCTAAATATTATTTCTGAATTTTCTTGGTGCATTTTTTAGGTTCGGACGGCAGAGTCTGCCCTGCTTCTTTTCACCCCGGACCCAAAGGAACGGATACGCCAGTCAGTTTGTCCAAGTGACCTCATGGTCTTCACCCCTCCCTCTAATGTGTAGCAAACTGTTTTTCTATTTTAAATTTTAACATGTATTCACTAACTTTGTTATATCCTTTGAGAAAAAATGTATTTGAGTGATTTTGACATTTATTTTTAGATTACTGGAAAATAGTTTTATCTTACAAGATGGTTTGATTAAAGTTCTAGTTAAGAACAAGGAAACGACCACTACTCCTCATTTACATCCAACAAATCAGCGACACTCTCGATGCTTTTATTACTGCATTTGAAGGCTCCAGGCATTTTGTTCAGTTTTGGACTGTTGTCTTCATCCTGCGTTCATCAGGTTTCACTGCTGCATCTGCAAATGTGAAGCAGAGATAAGTGGACGGAAAGCCAGAAAGGAAAAGCGAAAGGCGCCATCTGGTGGCAGTATTTATGCTAAAGAAGTATTGCTTGACTTGTCAATATTCATTTCATTATAATATATAAATTGAAACACTGTAATACTAAGCCAGTATTATATTGTTGCTTAGACTTTTAACTAATGTTGGTTATGTGTGTAAAATGAGAAAAGGCATAAAACACAGTAAAAAAAAAGAAGTTGGTTCATGAAGACTGCCTGATTAAATCTCATGGATAAAGATTCATTACATAAAAACCAATACACTGACCCAACAAAAACAAATAAATCTTAGCTTGGAATTAGTAAAAGTAGTCTACCTGGCTCTTATTGGGCTTTAGTGATGTAACTCGGCCTCCTGGCAGTTTGTCTTCCTCCATGTTTTTAGTCACCAACTGGTGATGGTCAAACGCAGGGAAGAAAAAGTGGTAGAAGAACTGATGAACTGTCTGGTTTTTGGCCTCCATTCTTCTGGTTTGCATTCCCTTCCCCTCACCTTTATGCTCTTCTGTGTACTCTAGAAGAAATATAATACATGTTTTAATACATATTAGACCAAACATTAGCTGGTGTTTCATAGTTTTTGAGTTTTATGATTTTTTTCTAGTCGATACTATATATCTTTCCCAACATAAAATAAAAGCCAACATTACAAACCTGCAGACCAAAGTTGCTTATCGACTTTAGTCTTGACATCTTGTTGACTCTGTGAGATGTCCTGAGCAGGGATCTATGATAAGATGTAAATACTATTATAAAGATTTAAGAGAAAACCATATAGCCAAGTTTATTACACACTTCATTAATATCAACAGCAAGGGTGTAACAACATTGCTATTAATACAGGATATTGGGATGTCTTTCTGATACAGATACTCATGAAATTCGTGTTGCATGTGAAGTGGTGCCTCAATCAAAAACATCTGGTGCAGCGATTAAGATAAATGTTGATTTGTTTTGCATGCTAGATTGCCTGTAGCAACTAATCCCTGCTGATTTAGGGTTGGAGATTTCAGGAGGGATGGGGGAATTCTTCAGAGGTGCCACCTGGACAGAACAAGTATTTAAAGGTTTGCTGCAAAGACTACACTCACCTCGGGAAGATCTCCGCTGGTCTCAGCATTAGATCTGGACAGGGGCTGGCGCTCTGGCAGACTTTCAGAAACCCCCTGACATTTCACCTCAGCACAGCCCAGAAGTACCTCAAAAAACTCCAGGAATGTAATCTGCAGCAGAAAAAGAGAGACGACAACAAAAGTGATACAGAGGAGGGAAAGGAATACACGAACTGAGGTAGGTGGATGAATGCTAATCTTTCAATGGGCATTGAAAAAAATGATTGATGAGTCAGCTGGTGTAAAGCCTACAGGCAGACCTCCAGATTCAGGCAGGAGGACAGGTTGTTGGGGTCACGGCACTCTGCAGTGATGATCTTCAGTAACCTCGCTGTGGTCAGCTTATCGTCCAGCAGACGAAGATCCTTGCAGGGGTTACAATAAACTTATCAACACCGAGTCTTAAACAAGGTGGGAATTATACATTTTATGTATGTGACTGACATTTGTTTCTAATTAATCCTGAGTGTGATATGTTGTTCTTGGTAAGGGAGACTTGTAGCTGAAAAGTAGGCGACATCATTTTCAGTGGGTAAAACAGCCATGCAATAGTTTGATGTATTTTTTTAACCTTTTATAAATTCAACTCAAAACTATTTAAAATTGTAAGGAAGTCTGTTGCACCTTGAACATCCACAGCATGTGTCTGTAGGTCATGGTCTGGTCATCTCCCAGAGCTGCGTGGACACTGCAGTAAACCTGGTAAACTTCCCAACATCTCTTCATGTAATTCCCAGCCGCCACTGAAAGGTGTGGCTCTCCAAACAGGAAGCCTGGATATACACAGGTATACTTAGTGAGCACAGCTATTACTCAATAATATATGGCTAAGAAAGGGTGTTGAATACAACACCATCAGTTTCTGTAGGTGTGTCCTCTCAGAAAAAACATGAAAAACACCAGGAAAATGAGGAACCTGCAAACTTATAAGGACCTGATGGACAAAAACATCTGCAGTAATTGTTTGTTTTTTTTCTCCAATGTTTTGCACTAAATCTTATTAAATAACTGGCTCTCCTGTCTGGGAGCTTTCTAATGTCCCTATTTGACACTTTTCATGCTGTAATAAATCAGCTTGCAGGTTCCTCTCTCATCTAATTTGTGTACATGCATGTTAGCACCTTTTACTTTCTTAGCATTAGGAAGGATGTCGTCTGTTATCAGTTTGGATAAGCAGGCAGCCAAAAGGTAATTCTGTGACCTGTGAAAAGTATGCAAAGTATAAACGAGTTACAGAGGAAAAAAAAAAAGTTTTCTATTACAATCTTGTCTTTGTGTTATTCCTTGGTGCGATGGTGATTGGTGAACTCTAAGGTCACTTTAGCACATTTTAGTGTTAACCTTTTTAGATTGGATAAAGTTTGAAATTCATTGCCATCAAGCTAGTGGCTCCGCATGCCTTCAAAGAGGAGCTTAGAGCTAAATGCTAATATCAGTACGCTAACATGCTAACATCACTATTATGTTAGGCAGGTGTAATGTTTACCAATTTAGCTTTGTTAGCATTCTAACATTTGTTAATTAGCCTAATACAAAAAGTACAGCTGAGTCAGAGTCAGAATTTTGCAACGTATTTTGTACTGGACCAATTAACCTGAAGAAAATAGAATCAAAAGAGTTATTACAGTTAATCTTGAAGATGGTCATGAATGTCTGAACCAAAATATCATGTCAGCCCTCTCAGTGTCAGTGGAGGAACGACTGCACAACTGAGATTTCCAATCTACTGGTGATGATCTGTTGGAGCAGGTTCTATTCCTTACACCATGTCCTTATTATAGATGTGGTAGGCCACGATCACTAGACAGCTGAGGAGCCTACGAAGCGTCACAGGGGTAAACGGGCAGTGGATCTCTGCAGTGGCATCCTCTGGGGCACACAAAGAACGACAACATTAACCACAGTGTTCAAGTATCCCAAAAATACTGTAATTATGAAACTATCAGTATCCTGTATATGTGAGGTGTAAGAGAGACTATGAATGGCGGTCCCTCTCACCTTTGATAAAATGGTTTATCTGTGTCAGCGTGATGTCGTGATGGTGGATGTGACAGTCTTTGAGCAGGCGCCACAGCTGCAGGTGGGACAGCAGGAAGGTGTTATCTAGCGAGTGGGCAAGACCAAGTCTGCTGTAGAAACTATAGATGGACCGCAGCTCCATGTCTTTCCTCAGTATCACAAACTCCACCTGTTACTCAGGACACAGGATTGAAAATAAGGATCAAGGGTTAAAATCATACTGTATGTTGACAGTGTTACAATAAAGTGGGACCTTACCTGTTTGCGCTCCGTGTCACGCTTTCTCTCAGGGATTTTATCCAGAAGACATTCAATGTTCAGAGCCATGTCTGGTCCTAAGGCAGATGAATCACTACCTAACAATGGAAATGCACCTGTAACAAGATGCAAAATTAAAGGTCAGGTTTTCAGACTGTGACACTGTTAAGTATCTCCTTGTTGGCAGACTGAGCATTTTAAATGGAGCTATGTGCTGTAGGTGTTTACCACACAGAGGAGTGGGAGCTCTGTTTCCATCCAAGTTGGGTGTCATCATCTGATCATCCACAAACTCCCCTTCAAAAACATGCCCATCCTTGAAAGTGAATTTTCCCTATGAACCATAAAGCACAGTCACTTTTAGTGTGTAACAATTTACATCATCTTAGGATCACTGTAGATGTGTTACTGAATATGATGAGTACCTTTGGAGACATATGCATATAGACATTGACAGACAATTCTGTATCTCTAATTAACCTTCCCATCTTTTTTATTGTTCTTCCATTCTCCTTCATAGATTGCACCACCAGCGTAGTAAAACGTTCCAAGTCCGTGTCTCTGACCCTGAACGAAATCCCCTGTGTACCGATTACTCTGGGAATACTGGGATCCATCAGCTCGCCTCAGGATCCAGATGTGTGTTCCTCGCCCATGCTGCAAAAGAAGTGAGCTCATGTGATTCACAACAAAAACATATAGCAAGCTTGGTGTTTTAGGGGGGATACAAAGCTATTTTCCTGGAATAACTGTAATGTCTTTGCGATAATAAACAAACTGTCAATCTAGGAGAGGGCTGGGATAATAATACAGGATCATTTGCTACAGTATGCATGTATGATTTCATACCTGGACTCCATCCTGCCACATCCCAACATACTGCTGTCCCAGCTTTAGCCACCGCATCGTGCCTTCTCCATGTCTCAGGTTGTTCTTCCACTCACCAGAGTAAATGTTGCCAGAAGGGTAGCTGTTAAGAAACAGATGTTACCTTTAGAAGTTCAAATGTAACTCAGGCAACAGGTTAGATCATTTACTCTTGTACATACCATCTCTCTCCCAATCCCTCTCTGTTGTTCTTCACCCAGTCTCCTTTGTACCAAGAGGTTTTATCCTGGTTATAATACACTACACCCTAACACAAAGACGACCAATTAAAAAAAAAAGTAAAACAGGAACGACTATTCCTGATAATAAATTGGTGAATCATACCTTTCCGTGCCTCTTGCCCTGATCCCACTGCCCTCTGTATAACACACCGTTTATGGCACATTTGTAAATTCCAGTCCCATGTCGTATACCATTGTACACTTCGCCTGTATAGGTGCTGCCATTTGGCCAGGTGTAGGCACCCTGGCCCATGGGAATGTTACACACAAATTCTCCCTGTTGGATTAGAAACTTCAATTTAATTCAAGATTTTGATGTGAGCATTTATAACCATATTATCATACTCTCATTCTACGCCTTTCTCAGTTTTATTATTATTTTGCATGTATACAAGATGCATGTTGAGAAATGTACACACGAGTTATCAATCAAATTTAAGTTCATTAGTAAATAAAACATATTTTATATATTACAATATAAAGAAAATATAAATATGAAATATAATAAAATTTAATAACAGTACCCTACCTCATATTTCATCCCACCTGCCCACGTGAAGACACCTGCTCCATTCATTAGTCCCTTAGTAAACATACCCTTCACAAAAAAGTATGCATACTGTATTATAAAATCAAATTTATAAGCTTTTCCAACTTTTTCAAAATGTAGTGTTATTTGCTTTTGCACCTTGTACATATGTCCTCCTTCAAAACAAGCAACACCTTCCCCATGCGACTGGCCGTCACAGGTTTCCCCTTCATATCTGTCAGTGAGAGACACCAGAGTTAACACCTCAGACACAACCAGTTCCTCACTGCCACAAGTCCTTGGAAATGCATTTACTTTATCCAGGCAGGTTATGATTAGTTTAATTTAATCAATGTTGCGTGATGATTTACCTCTGAATAGTTAGGTTAAATAGTGTGGGGAGTTCACAAATGTCATCATGTTCGGGCTGCTCGTCGCTAGCAGGGTGGAGGTTGGTTTGGTTCGGTTCCACATCCGCTGAATTTACCTTTAAACTACCAGAGCAGCTCACTAACTTTCCTTTTTCCCATCCTTCCGCTGTCTGTTCCGGATCCGCGTTTCCACATTTCTTCTTGTTTTTATGTTTACCACTTATTGTCGTAGTTTTCTTCTCGTCTTTCCCCTGTGTCATTTTGCTCCGTTTATGTATCTCACGTACAACGCTAGGCTCCTCTCCATGGCAACGACGAAGGACGGTTACAACTACGGCAACTTTACTCAGTCAAAAAGGACAATACGACACACAAATGGCAACTCTTCATGTATATTGTTTATTTCCTCCAAGTATATTAAAAACAGGAACATATCTCAAAAAAACAAACAAACAAAAAAAAAAACAATACCAAGCATCTGAACAATACAAATATACAATATGCACAGATTGGGCTCTTGATAGTTTGTCATGGTCAGTCTTGTGAGATGATTTCCAGGTTGGCGAGGTGTCTCATGGTTGGCCTGCCGTGAGGGCAGTTCCATGGATGTTCAATTTCCCCCATGTGAACCACCAGCTTCTTCATCTCACTGACACTCAGAGCGGTGCCAATCATCACCTGAGGATGGACATAAGCAAAACAATTTCTGTAAAAACAAATTCCTTTAAAAAGTGAAATGTTATTCAATGAGTCTATGACAAAACTAAAATTTTATTTTGTTACCAAAAATCACAAATGCTTACACTACTACCAAGACTTGAAGTTTTACATTTGTGTCATGAGATGTGCATGTTTACGTTTTCATTCATAGCAAACATATTATTGCATTATTGGCAATCAAATTAACAGCAGTGCTACATTACAACACAAAAAATGAAAACACATAAAAAGTAAAACATGCTCTGCAGTAAGCTAAACATACAAACACACCGGTGTAGTCATGTAACCTCTATTGGCCAAGGAGGGAATATAATCACAATTGACTTATTGAAGTGTCTGTTTATTATCAGTATAAACTCACAGATTTCCGACAAGCTCTGGAGGCAAACATCTGTCTGACTCTGGATGGTCGGCACATGACCCCTGGGCTGTCACTCAACATGAAGATCAGCTCCTCAATATCGCCTGGACCGAAAGTCCAGTTCTTACTGGTGGGCAGAGACACCAGCTTCACCCTCTCCATCACCTGAGCTAGAATCGCAATGAAAAATCTGACTTAGTAATCGTAATTATCAAAATAGGAAATCTGTCTGTCAAACATGAGATGAAATTAACTCATGTTTAATCACTCATATCAAACAGCTGAACATCCATACCGTCCTCGTCCACCAGAAATTCGAAGCCATTCTTTCTGAAAATCTCGATGTTCTCTAAGAGAACATTCTCACTGACCGCAGGGAGGTGAAGTTTCTGAGGGCTGGAAATAAAAAGGAAAAAAAACAAAAACAAAATTCAATCACTGACCAGTAAAGAAAAAAAAAAAAAAGGTACTTCTAAACAATACAGTGCAAAGATTAATCTACCGATTTATACTCCTCTTACACTATGAGTTTCTGTCCTTGGAGCACAGTGTGCTGCTGCAACATCTCAAAGTTGTATTTCTCATCAGTGGCGTGTTGGTCGATCATGAAGATGTCCGAGTTGAGTTTGGTGATAATGAAGCCCAGGTTAAACTGACCGATGATCTCCATCTCTTTGAACATGTCTTTACTGTTGAGATGAAAGTAAGATCGTTTACTGTTCTGGTAGTTACACTTGAATAGTATACTAATAATATACTCAACAGTAGTTATAGTGTAGTAGTGAAATCTTACCTGATCTCCTTCTTCAGCTCGTCCTCTGCACTTTGGTTTTCTCCAGGGTTGATCTTGGCCCTGAAGCGTCGGTAGCGTAGCTCGTCGCTGGCCTTTTGTTTCTGCTGGTCCTTTATCCTCCTTATCTTCCCTTCAAGCTCTTGTAAAGAGAACTGGAGGGGCACTGTCCTCCTCTGTAAGCAGATTGGAGCATCCACTTTAGAGGAAGAGGATCCCTCAGAACAGTTTAAGAAAGTGTTGGATTTGAGATCTGTAGGGAAATGTAGATTCTCTGTCCTGGCCCTCTTAGCATCAGGGCTCACAGTACCGTCCTCATTTGAAGCGCATGGCTCAGTCTGTAACTCTTGCTCTTCAGGAGCTGTCTGACCGTTGTCTGATGTTTCTTCGAATGTTTCATCTTTTACACTGTCAATCAGCGGTTCGGGAGAACTGCGCTCCAGGCCAGAACAATGACTATCAGGAGCTGCTGTAGTAGAAACAAAACTGGACGCAGCTCTGTCTTTTTCATCCTCTGGATCGCTACACGATACCATTCTGTATCTGAATCCATCTAGCACTGACTTTCCCACTGGGGAGCATTCAGCTAGATCTTTTGCAGGTTTTAAAGGAGATTTAACACTTGAGTTGGAAGCAGGAGGTTTTACAGAACCCTTAAAAAACGTCTGCAGTGTTTTCTGTGATGGGCCACTGTTGGCAGATTTTGACATGTTTGATTTGTTCCCAGAATTGGAGCTGTGGTGACTTGAAAAAGCAGCTTTTAGACTGGCCAGGTTCAAGGATGACTTTGGGCTCTGTACCAGCGGTTCCACGGCCTCTCCTGGTTCTGGCATGTTCTCATTAGACGGGACCATGTGACGCAGGTCAGATGCTGATGTTGCATCTACAGACAAGTGACAGGAAAAATGTCAAAATAAAAAGCACTGTAATGGAAAAGTCTAAACCAAATCTATTCTGAAAAATCTCTCAGTGATATTACTCTGCTATAATATAAATATTTGCTGTACAACTGTTGATATGCAGGATAAATGTAATGATGTGCTCTTACTGCTGCTGGGCATGGGTGTATAGTTCAGGCTGATCTTATTGACTCCAGCCTCGTACATGCTGATGAGGGAGGTCTTTAGAATAGCCAGCAAGAGTTTCTCTTCCTGAAGGAAAATCTGTCGCTTGTCTGGGGTGACGTTCACATCCACACACTCTGAAATAACACCAAATAAAAACCCTCATGTGGTTCAGAAGGCCAATTCTGTATTTCAGGAATAGAGTTTTGATATAATTAAATTTTCTTACCTGAGGCAACAGCTATGTTCAAGGCAACAAATGGATACTGATGTCTGTTATACATGTGATACACTTCATTCACAAGTTTGGTCACCTGCAAGTTAGGAATATCCAGAGGTCAGGTTTTATCAATGAGTCCTCACCTTTAAATTTCCCAAAAAATCCACTACACATGAATTACCTTCAGGGGATCACATGGCCGGTTATTGATGAAGAAAAACTGTCTGTCTGTGGCGCTTCTCCCAACACCATGGTCTCCTCGTGACACAAACCCCGTCATGCTGCCAAAGTACACACAGGTTTTTAATTAAAAAACAAACAAACTCTGCTTTGTATGCAGAGGGAGGAATATAGGACTTTAATGCAATGGTGCCACTCACGTGAAAAGCTGTTTGGGAAGATCTGCATCCTTGAGTCCATATTCTTCAATAATATTTTCTGTAGGGGATACTTGTTGAAAAGGCAGAAGACTCTGCAGCTGCAGGACACACAACAGACATTAAACCATAGACATTTTTTAGTAGCGGAAATTAGAATAGAGAAACTCTGCAATGAAAATCAAGCTGGAAGCAAAACAGTTTTACTGTCTTATTTTGGAAAAATTAGACATTCACATACACATAGTGATGAAGTTACACTTACACTCTCTGCAGTTAAATAAAGATCATGGTCAATACAAATGTAAACACAATGTGCCAGTGTTCCAACCTGTTTTGGTCCAAATATGGCTCCTATATTGTCTCTCATGCTCTGGCTTCCACTGGTGCTGAGCACCGTGCTGCGCTTTCCCTGCCCATTTTGGTTGGAGCAGGTAATACGCACTCCAGTAGAGATGATACAGTACGACTGCAGGACGTGTATCATTTTGGTATATTCCTGAAAATACAAAGCAATGAAATATCAGGGATTAAATATGAATGATATATGCAATTTAAGTAGCCACTGATTGGCTCTACAGTAAAAAAAAATTTAAAGATACTAAATGAAAATTATGAAATGCCTACAGGCTTTACATGATTACATGTTCCGTTACATATCATGTCCTGAGAGAAGAGTTTTACTTCAGAATCATATAAATTATTCATGTGAAGTTAAATATGTAATATGTCATATGCCTTGTCCCTTTACTTTTTTACATTTCTGCCACCTATTCTCACTTTTATATTGATTTATGTGTTTTCCCTTTTCTCCTGTAATCCAGTAGGTTTCATTTATGGTATGAAAATCAACTTGCAGAGTCCACAAACTGGTCTGGGATAACGTGGAGGGATATCCAAGATTCAAGTCAAGACTTTATAACTTATTTACATAAAATATAAAATATTTTTTCAGTATAGCAATAAATAAATAATGATTAATTTATCATTATTATTAAGAAGATCGCTGTTCAGACTCAACATCTGAGTTTCCATCAGGCACGATTTCTCCGTTACCATTAAATGATAACGTAATTAAACAACTTAATGTTCACTGTCAGAATCTCAGGTAAGTGTAAAATCACTGTAAAGCAATTTTATATAACATGAATGGAAACCAAAGGCTGCCTAGAGTGTATAGGACTAACTGTTAAACCAAAAAGAAAACTGTGTGGAGTTACATAACATGTATGTGATAAGTAGTAAAAGGGCTAAAACATGCAGAAAAATCAGAATGATCGTTTTAATGACTGACCTTCTTTATGTTGCGCTGGAACTCCTTGTGTCGGACAGGCAGGGTGTAGAAAAGCTGCTGCAGGCTGACCGTGGTGCCCTGCTGACGGGGATGGGGTGACTGCTGCACCATGTGGCCCTTGTGGTCAAACACCAGCTTGGTCCCCACCTGGTTGGACTCATGGCACGTCACCACACTCAGATCACTGGAACGAGGAGTTGGAGGCTTAATGGGGTGAAAGGTATTTTAAGTGTATGTGCTGAATCAACGTGGCTGTTGAAGTGTTTTACCTCAGAGCACATAAAGAGCTGAGGGCTTCACCTCTGAAGCCAAATGTTTCCACATGGATGAGATCAGAGAAATCTTTCAGCTTTGATGTGTGATGCTTCAATGCTGTGGAACAGAGAGAGGAGGCTTCAGTAGGTCGGCCATGTTTAACGGAGCGTATACACGAAGCTGACACTTACTCAGTCCCTCAAAGTTGGCCTCTTCTACTCCTTTGCCATTGTCTGACACTTCAACTAGTTCAGTTCCACACTCCTTCAGTTTCACATCTGGAACATGCAACAATATGACACTGAGCATCACACAGCAATGACAAGCAATCATGTCATCTTGATTACTTTAAACAAAATCCTTTACAGTACAGTGAGAACCTTGAAGAGTAATCAGCCCATTTCCATGTGGGCTTCTGTTCTGATAGATCTCTATGTTTTCAATATATTTTGCCACAAAGGATTTATTTTGTTGCACTTTCTGAGACATTAAAACAGGATTGTCCATAATTTAAGCTAAATCGATATCTACCCTTGTGCTGGACTGTAAAACAAAGGCACCATGTCATTTTAACAAAGATAAAACCATTATTTTAATAGTGTTCACAACAGCAGCTCTCATGAGTGAAATGTGTTTTGTTAGAACCTCTTCATGTGACAAAAAAACCTCAGTATCAAACAAACTTTGTGTATATCTGTGCTTACCAACGTTGGTGGCTCCTGCATCAATGCTGTTTTCCACCAGCTCTTTGACAGCAGTGGCCAAAGTCAGCACCACCTGTCCTGAGCAGATTTGATGCACTGAGTGCTTGTCAATGGCCTTGATGGCTCCTGCAGGTTCGGAGCTACTGAGAAGAAAACATGCACAATGGTGAATAATAACGTCGCCCTCTGCTTTATTAATACCGCTGCAACAGATTTACGCATGCTTAACTATAAAGATAATATTAAAGGTGTAATAAACTCATGAAAACCATTCTCTAATCTGTGATGAGTATATGAGGACTGTGGGAATGTTAGGTGACCTGATTATAAATTGTGGAGTCCTACTTAAGTTTCTTTGGATCTAAATATACATGTATGGATGTAATTATACATAAATGTGCAGTTTTTAGTGAAACGTGATACAGGTTAAAAAAAACCAAGACAAGGGAAATAATCGGGATAAAACGTAATAACATTTTAACATTGCATATTCAATATTCAGATTTGCACGGTGTTAAAAACAAATATCTGCAGGCAAATTAAATAAATACTATGGTAGCTAACTTACCAAGCATCAGACATTTTCAAAGCCTGAAAAGCTTGAGGCAAAACTCATTCAAACTTTGATATGTGGCGTCATCTGAAATAGATAAACCAAGAGACGCTAATTAACGACTTGACATTCATGCAAATGTAGCTAGTTTGTTTTCACGAAGTGTCGGTGGTAAAAACCGCTTCACGACATCGTGCTGTAAACACAAAAGTGAAGCTGTTCCGCGCGTAGTGCGCAAATTGTTCACGAGCGTCACCCGTGCGCAAAACCTGCGCAGTTTGACTATTAAAAGTGATAATGTAAAATATTGAGTGTGTAAAAAAGCAACCTCACAAAATGAGCACAGAATTTAACAAGAGTAATAACAACGTCCACATAATAATATCGCTGTATAGAAAATGAATATAAACAAACCCGTTTCCTCAAACCTTGTAGCATTTCATCACCAAACCCACCGGAACCTTTGACCTGTGGAGATGTTAGGGCGCATGTGCAACTACCTCATATTGTAAGAAACGCATAAGTCGCTTTTTGTTACTGGGTCATTCTCCATTTTTTTAAACGCTAGAGTTATATTTCTATTACAACACAACATCTGTGTTGATTTTACGCTGTAGTTTTGAGTGTAACATTTTTTTCACTTGCAGTTAATGACGTTGTAAGTCACGCACGTTTATTTTGAGACGGTCCCTGAACAGCTGTTAAATCATGGTCGTTTGTGAACATGGTGAACAGTAGGGGACTTTGGGGTAGTTTTCTCTGTCTTTTCTGACATATTCGTGCGATGTAAACATTAGCGGAGCTAGAGTTAAACGAGTATTTTGACGACGTATCTTACTGCAGATATGGGGTAGCTACTGTGAATTGGGCAGCGTTTTAAAATTAGCACTTTGTTTCGTCAAACTGTCGTTATTTACATACAACAAAAATGTACAGTTCATCATCCAACAACGGACTCCTGCGGTCGGACGAATGTTCCGGTAATGGCAGCAACATTTTGGTCCGACACAGCCTCGGATCCGGCAGGAGGAAACACGAGGCTGGGACTAACATTAGCCTGCTAAGTTTGGCAAGCGAAGAGGACGATGAAGTCCAGTTTGACAGTAAGCAGCTTTTCCTCTGCTTAAAGGTGCTGCCTATCGTTACGTTACCGTTTACCTAACAAGTGAACATTGTTGGCTGTGATCCCACATTACGTTACACAGTGACACCGGAACAAAACGTCTGACTTTGAATAGCTTAAATTAGCTTTTTTGGTTTATTAATGTGGTGGTGGTGGTGGTGGGGGGGGTTAAGGATTTATATGCCATGTGAACAACGACGTCACTCTCATGCTGCAGTGTTGAGCCCACCCTACTATTATTTCTCCAGCTTAAAAAACATCTATATAAACCACTAACAGACAACTGGTATAATTTTAATTCATATCACAGACTGTGGCTCATATGGTGTTTGAAAGTACAAGCCAGTGTTTTGTTTATTGTACTAATATTAAAATGTATATTTGGTGTCCATCCTGTGAAATAACAAACTGTAGGCTATTTTAAGGCAGTTCACAGTTCTCACACTAATGTTTGTACTGTAACTTTCAACTTGCAGACAGTGTTTTAATACTAGTATGATGTTTGTTATTACACCTCTGGGCTACAACATGCATTTCCATTCAGAGATGTTTTAGCCTTTCCCTCAGCTTGGGACAGTCATTCATACTATACGAGCCATGATAGTGTCTTTGTGTAAGTGTCTATGGTTCAACTTTGATCCTCATATCATAGCAATAACCTCGTAAGAAAGATATTCCTCCATATGTGGCTATACTATATACCACAGTATATATCAATATACTGATACTGATACACCGGTGGCTCACCTGGTAGAGCGCTTACCACTTAGGCTCAGTCCTTACTGTAGCGGCCCGGGTTGAAATCTCATCCCCCAACTTTCCTGTCACTCTCTCAGTGTCCCTATTCAATTAAAGGCAAAAACTGCCCCAAAAAATAACATAAAAAAAGAAAATTGAATGGTCAAAATTGAAGAAACAGCCAGCCTTTTTGTTCCAAGTAGTCAAGGTTCAAAATAAGTGGTTATTTAATTATCTCTTTCATTTGACCTTCCCTTCCTCTTAAATGTGGCCATCTTTCACACTCCATGCCCTCAGCTTATAACGCAGGTTTTTTTGTCAAATGTTTGAAGCCTCAAGCTGAACCCAGGATTACCCTGATGACATGGGCTGCCTCCACTGCCACACAAGACTTTATGCAACTGTTTTCACAGGCTGAGTAGTACTCTCTACAACGAGTAAATTGAACTTCACTTGTAAATTCGGCAGAGTGGCCTTTCACCCTTAATCTTATACAAACTTGCAGTCGACAAACAAGTTTACATGGGTCTTGTAAGTGAAGACTTGCTATTCCACACATCCTGTAGTGTGATCAAATGAAAGTAAAATAGTGTCAGGGAACTTTGACAGATGATACAGCCCCTCCTTCCCATTCTGGCACAGGGGCCAAGTATCTTCGCTTGGTCATGTGTTTACAGAGTAGGCTACACTAGGTGGAGGAGGCTGGTGTCCGCTGGACCAGGCAGATAAGCATTACTGCTGTGGACGCCCCCTTATGTATAATCAAGATGAACTTATTTTGTGCCTTGGAGGTGAACAGGATAATCATTATTACAGCTCCATGAGTGGTTAATATTGCACCGAAAGGCTTTCATACAGAAAAATGGACCTAGGAGAAAAAAACATTGTTGAAATGATTGCGAAAGTTATTGAAGAAGGTAAGACAGCTGTAACTTTATACACAGAAAAATAATTGTTGATACATTATTTGATTTTATTGGAAGTTGAACAAAGTTAGATATACTCTGAAGTGTTTTTGTGCTACAGTTTGGGCCTATAATTCACCACCGCTTCCTCTTTCTCATTTTTCGTTTCTATGTACGCTCAGCTTCGGACACAGATAATGACTGTGAGGTGTTAATAGCTGGTAGACATTACCCATCCATCCAAGAGTTTGCCTCAGCGATCCCCAACCACCTTCTCCTGGGGTCCCTGCTGGAGCACCTGTGCTTCGTCTACGAGAGTAATCCAGCACGCTCACGTACGCTGTTTAAAGGTAGTTACAGATATGTTTTTCTGGAATTCCAAAAAATTTTTAAATATATGTTTAGCATTCTTTCTATACCTTTTATTCCTTGTCGTTAATTACGAATTCAGTTAATATAACTTTGTTATCCCTCTGACAGTCATTGGCCAGCGATTAGCAGCTATGAACCTCCTCTCGCCGTTGGCCATAAGTGATGAGTTCAGCACCGTCAGACTACAGCACAACCGGGCCTTCACTGAGCTGCTTAATGCCGCCAGCTCCTCCTTGTACCCGCAGGTAATGGACATGTTGTTATGTAAAAGATTGTTTTTACTTAGTATAATAGATGTCATTAAGCATTCTGAACAAAGCAGAACACTCAGCTTACATTTTGTAAAGTGGATAGTGTTCATCAGTGTTTATTGTTGTCATGTTTACAGCGTGAACACTGTGTGTATCCTTGTCTTATCTCACAGGGTCTCGGCACAAACACGCACAATCCCTCTGCAAGGTAAGGTGTACGAGGTGTAGTTTTGAATGTTGCTGCTTCCAAGGAGTATTTAAGTTTAATGTAAGAAATGTTTGTCTTCCCACAGACCTAAGGAGGGACTATTTCAAGCGCAGACCTCACGATATCTTAGTGAGTTTGAAGAAATCTGCAGACTTGGGAAAGGATCATATGGAAATGTTTTTAAGGTATTTTTACTCAGTTCTAATTCCCACTATTCCTCCTATCCAGCTCCTTTAAAGCACATGAGTTGAGGTGATCAACACAGTCATGTTATCTTTGACATCTTCTTGTAGGTTATGAACAAACTTGATGGACAATATTATGCTGTGAAGAAAATTCTCATCAAAAATGTCTCAAAGGATGACTGCATGAAGGTGGGCCATCAGTGTTTTATCAAAAGACTCTTTTCACGCCCAAATCCAGAGATATGAGAGACACCCACTTTAATCAAATGTGATTGTTTTGCTTGCTCTAGGTCCTTAGGGAAGTCAAAGTGTTGTCCAGCCTGCAGCATGTAAATGTTGTGGGTTATCACACTGCATGGATGGAACATGTTCAGCCTGCAGCACGTGAGTTTTTAACTGCTGTCCTGCGACGTGTTTGTGAAACGAATGAAGTTACTGTTCACAGAGATTGGCAAGACCAGACATTTGGCTCAACCTTGTCCAGGAACATATAGAGAGGACGCTATACTTGAGGTTCAATTAAACAAACAGACGCTCTTTATCTGTAAACTGTCCTTGTTTCAGATCCTGAGTCTCTCCTGCCTGCACTGGAATCACCTGGACAACAAGACAAGTAGGATCAGTGTATACAAAATCAGATTCATCTCCATGTTGGCTGATGACTTTTTGTAACACACATTCATAAATAAAATTACAAACCAACTATGTATGATGTAATAACAGTGTGTCCAACAACTCTTAACTTTTCTTTTTGCAGTTTTGATGGGAGCCCTGACAACAGCGACACCAGCTTGTCTATAGTCTTTCAAAGCCTCAGTGAATCACCAACAGATAAAGCTGCAAGTGCCAAAGTATCTCCAAAAGAGACCGAGTCGGCTTTAGTGCCAACCCAAGAGAAGGGCCAGGTGTTGTGTCCCAAGACGATGCGCCGCCTCCCTGAGAACTACGTCCCCTGTGTGTTCCTGGGACAGCGCGATCCCGTGAAGAGCTCCAAGTGTCCTGCCACGGGTTGGGACAGCTCAGCACTGTTAGAGGAGGACTCCAGCAGGAGTAGCATCGAGCTGAACAACAACTCCTGCAACGACAAGGAGTGCCAACAGTGGGCTGACAAACGCACAATAAAGCCTTCTAAAGAGGTAGATGCTTAAAGTGGATTAGATTCATTACAATAAGGACAAAAACTGCTAGATTTTATGGTACAAATATTTCTTTAAGAAAATTACAAGCAGAGAACAAGTGTTATGGTGAAATGTACCCTTAAAAACGGTTGCTCTGTATCTGCAGGTACAGTTCCACCTGATGCTCTACATCCAGATGCAGCTGTGTGATCGCTCAGTAAAGGACTGGATCTCTGAGAGAAACGCCAAACCCAAAGAAGAACAAACCTCAAGATGTAATTGTTTAACACATTATGCATGACTCTGCAATATTGTATTGTTCAAATACAGATTTCATTTAGATTTCATGAGCACATCTTTTTTTTTTTTATCAGTTTCTCTCCATTCACAAATGACTGCTAATGTAATTTAATTTATTTATGGTGGTAGTTTATTTCACGTTTTCTAAGATACAAATACAATTTCGGAAATAAATACTTTTATATATTTTTTCAGGTCCTTACGGATGTGTTGATACTGAACACACTGTCAGCCTGTTGAGAAACATACTGGAAGGGGTGGAGTACATTCACTCCAGGGGAATCATACACAGAGACCTGAAGGTGAGCGGCTTTGATAAATTTGTGTTTGTATGTTTGAAGTTATTAGATTTAAGGTGTGTCTGTAGCTTGAAGCAAACGTCACCTCCAACTGTCACTGACTCACAGGTGTCAGCTAGGAGTAATATTATCAAATGTGTTATTAAGAGAATCCTGTCGGTCATCATCAGTCACAAAGGAGATGTTGTGTGTGTTCTCCCAGTAGTTGAAGACAAAGTCATATAGCCTCTCTGGCAGGATTTCTTTCAGTTCCCCTTTTTTGTCTCGGATGTGTCTCAGGTAAATATCACTCTTACAAATATCCTGAAGCCTTCTTGGCTGCTGAATGAGTTTTAGTAGCTGGTCTCTCTGCTTCAAGAAACATGGTAATGTCAAGGCTGAGGGCAGGTGGCAGTTTTGGTTGTAGACGGTGAGCGGGGAGGTCAGGCTGAGGAGCGTCACCAGCAGGGAGCTGTTCCTTACATTAGACCTGTGGTTCAGGAACAGAAACAGACAGTTCTCCCCTGCTTGGCTGAGCTTGTTGATGTTAGCTCCGTACCTGAGCAGCAGCTCGACCAGCTGCTTGTTGCCCGTGCTGCATGCCTCGTGTAAAGGTGTAATTCCTGCCTTGTTCTCTGCGTTGGGCTCGGCCCCATGATCCAGCAGCTCAGAGATGCAGTTTAAGTCGTCTTGCAGGGTCTTGGTGGTCTTCATAGCCATTGCCACAGCAGCTAAGTGCAGAGGAGTGTTTCCAGTGTTCTTCAGCCCCTTGAAAATAGTCAGGAATTTACATTAATTTAATTTAACATGTTGAACTTTTAGCATATATTTTAATAGGACAGAAATGTATGCATTGTATTTAATAATTTTGATATTCTTCATTTGTTTTCAAGGTCGTTTAGTTTGACTTCTAGCAGGAAGAGCGCAGGTGTTACTGATAACATTAACGAGGTCCCAGTGAGTCATGAAATGTGCCGTTATCAATATTATTAATTACACCTGTGCTCCACCCGTCATGTATGATATCTCAAAATGAAAATGTCTACCATGTTTGTCTTTTGTTCAATTTTGAAAATATAAAAAAGGAAAAAAAAAAATACAGCAAATGTCAACTGCCAAAAATAAACAAGAGTAACAACACAAACCATGTTGATATCTGCTCCCTGCCTGATCAAGTTGGCTATAATATCCTTATGGAGCATCCCAGCGGCCATATGTAGGGGCGTCATCCCACTGCTGTCCACAGCATTAACATCAGCACCATAGCTGGCAAGAATCTGGACAGCAGACAGAGCAGTGTAGCGTACTGATAGGTGGAGAGCTGTCTGCTGACTCTCTCCCTTCACCTAAGCGAGGAACCATAAGAAACCACACCAGAGCCAAATTATTTCAAGAGCAACTGTATTCCTGAGAATCTGTAAGAGGTGTATGTTTGTTCGAGATGTATGTTTGTTCGAATATATTTTAAAAGATGCTAGTTATTGCTTAAAAAACTGATTTACCTGTGCATTGACATTAACACCATGCTCACAGAGGAGCTGTAGACAAGCCTTCGCCTTCCTGTGCAAACCTATCACAGCAGTCTGCAACTTGGAATCTGGTTTTGACCAAGTTGTCTGGATGCTCGGCCAACCAACTATCACCAAGTGTAGCGTGGTTTGACCGAGCTGGTCCCTGTGACAGAGGAAGAGACTGTGATGCTGGTGCGGAGGGAGAGCTGTTGATTTTTACTTTAGTAGATAAAAGGAAATGGTGCAATGCATGTCATTGAAATGGGTTTCCGTTTGCTTGAGTTGAATTCATAGCAGTTGTAACAGGAAGTCTTCAAGTCGGCAAATACAAAATTAAATTCATACTGTATATGTGATCTTTTTTGTTTTCGGACCTAAACTAAACAGCTGAAATGAGTTTCAGCAACTCTGTCTGAGTTACTCTATTTTTTATTTAATGAGAGGCTTGCACTGTGAAAAAGGAACCTGATCTTACACAATAGTATTGATGGGCACAGTGCTAGGTGTTAATGTGTATATCTATATCTATATCGTGTGTGTGTGTTTGTCCAGACCTCATTTCAGGGTCTGCTCCTGCTGACAGCAGGCTCTGCATGCTCTTAAATCTTCTGTAAGAGGCAGCCAGATGAAGGGGAAGGATTGTGTGGCCCTAAAGCAAGAAAGATCATGACAGGACAAAAACTGAAAAACACAAATAGATAGATAGATAGATAGACACTTTATTTATCCCCTAGGGGAAATTCATGAATATGTTCTAGTCTGACACTACAAGAAGTACTTTTGTCTGAAATTGATCCCATAGGAGCATAAACATGTAACTGTAATCATAAAGCTTCTTGTGATTACCACCATCAATATGCATGCTTCTTTATATATGATTTGCTGACATTATAATATATAACATGCCGTGTTTTTGTCCATGTGACAATGTTTTCTGTAAAATGTAGTCAGGTTTAGCATATTTCGATTCTGTATTCAATTCAGTAGTTTAATAAGTTTGCATTGTTGCATTTACCTTCCTGAAAACTTTTCGAGGTGCACCATCTTGCATCTGGATGAGAAAGTTGCTTCCATACTTTTTTGACACATCTTCAAAATGTTGCAAGTATTCCTCCATCACGGAAGTGTAGAATTAATTGTTGTGAAAATTGATACCGTTACCACTCCTATCTTCATGTTTCTTCATGTTCCTTCTGCTCTTCCAGCGTGACCAGGCATCGCAGCTTTCCTGCTGTCTCTGCTTAGTCTTTCAAAGGGAAGTGGAAATCAGAATCTGGTTATTCGGGTTCGTTGTTGCAAGCATAAATTTCTCAGATGGGTGTCAGTTAATTTAGAAGTGGGAAAATCGAAACGTTACTACTTCTCTTTTCCGTGTTTGGTGTTTTCAGTAGCTACTTCTGTGTTCTCCGTTCTGTGTTTTCAGTCTGGTTTGAGAGTTATGCGTCTAACTTTGATGGCCAGCCTTTCTGTCACAACTGATAACTTGTTGCTGTGTGTGGGGCCAATTATAGGGACTGGTGACACCAGGCAGAGTAGTTAACAGGTTGTTCTATTGCTTGTGGGAATTAAATATATGCTTACATTCTAACCAATTTATCTTTTCCAGTGCAGGAAACACAGTATAGTATTTCCTGATTCAAATAGCGTATGTGGGTTTATGTGCTGTAAAGCTGGTGTTTTTTCTGAATCATTTTATGATGGATGCATCCAGTATCTACATCACAGTGTTGTAGTTTCTGTTTCCCCATCAAATGTTTAGAATGTAATGTTAGATGGTCTGAAATCCTAAAATGATTCATTTCTGCCCTTATTATTTGTATAAAAAACCTTGGGCATCTGCATCTTTGCACCCAGTGACTTGTGGAACTAATTGTAAATTTTTTGCTTTTCTCACAGCCAAGGAACATTTTCCTCCGTGCTCATGACTGCCATGTTCGGATTGGGGACTTTGGTTTGGCCTGCCGGGATTTACTAGTGGATGGACATAAAAGCACCAACTCTCCCAACAGTGGTAATAACTGCAACTCTTGGCTTGTTATATTTTCTCGACACAGTCCCTCACAGAACCAATAGGTGGTGCTATTTGATTATAAGTCACCTTTCTGGTGTATTTTGCAGATTCCTCACATACTACTGGTGTTGGTACATTTGTGTATGCTGCACCAGAACAATTGAAGGGCTCCCATTATGATTCAAAGGTAAACAAAGTAATAGTACACCTTGATTATGATTAATTCAGACTTTATTTTCATCAAACACAGAGTTTATTTTATTGTTATACTTCATCATTTTGAACTTCATCTTCATCAGTGTTACCTCTTCTTCGACATTTTTAACTACCGTCAGTCATTAAAGTCGAAACTTTGTTTGTATTGTTGTTGCTCTTGCAGTCAGACATGTACAGCATTGGAGTGCTGGCGCTCGAGCTATTCCAGCCCTTTGGGACAGAGATGGAGCGGGTCCGGACCCTTGGGGACCTGAGAGAAGGGAAAATCCCAGACTCATTCTGCCACAGATGGCCAGCCCTGGCTAAGTACATCATGAAGCTAACAAGTAAAGATCCTAGTGTTCGGCCCACAGCCAGCCAGCTTCTACAGAGTGAACTCTTCTGCAGCAAGGACAGGGTACGGAGTGTTTTAGCTTTTAAGATAATTACCCACCTCAGCCTTTTTGATCGAAATAAATTATTTGGAATAACAAATATAAAATCTACAAAGTAAAAAAATGTATGCAAACAAGTGTAAATAACAATTAAGCTTTTATTTCACTGGAGGTGTGGCAATAAGGTATGTGTTCATATGTTCATGTGTTTGTTTGTGTGTGTTTTTGAAAATGACATTGCCTCCAGGAAGACTATTGCACCTGCATCTGCACTGATGATTCTTAATTCTTTCCCCTTCAGTTGATCCATGGTTTGCAGAGAAGGGTTGAAGAGCAGGAGGAAGAGATCATGCAGCTGAGGAGACAGATCAGTCGGCTTCAGAGCTCACAAGCCACAGTTCATGTCTCTGAGTTGGACAAGACCTGAGCCTTAAAAATGTCAACAACCCACAGACTGTCAAAACTTGATTTTTTTTTTAACTACTTCTGTACTGTGATTTGGTACAAGTGGTAGAGAGAGAGAGTGTGTGTGTGTGTGTGTGTAAGCATTTGAGTGTATCTTGTACACCTGGATGTAAGGGTGCAATTATTTATTTTCATTCAGCTGTTGAATAAAACCCATTTCGGCTATGTCTGATGGGATTTCTAAGAGTCAATAAGTGATTATTGATCATCTGAGATGTTGCTTTGAAAGTCATGCATGTATGACAAATTGAAAAAGTGAACTACAAGTAGAATTGATTATATGTATTCTGATTTCATGCAGCTTCTTGAAACTGAAGAAGCAGCAGCTGTGGACAGAGTAAGCCTTCCAATTTCGATTTAATTGGGACATGGGCACATTTATCTCCATGCATGGATGTTCAAACAAATGCCTTTGTTCCCTGGCCTGTGCATGCAGTCGATGATGGTCTAGATGTTGAGTTACTGGTCACAGGGAATGCACTTAGTTATATATTCAAAACCTTTATAAGTGGAAATATTATGGGCACACAATTCAGCATAGATATAGTAATCTGTGCTGTGAAGTATATCTGGTAGGTCTGGTTTTAGCCAAACAACTATACCGGGCCCAATTACAGAATAACTCTTGAGTATAAAGCACTTAATGTTGATTGTACATGATGTACACAAAGGTCAGAGGTGTGTACATGCGACTTCCCGAAACACGTTCCTCACAGAGAAACGGCAGAATGAGCCAATCAGAGACTTCGTTTCATCGCAGGTACCCGGATGTACCCGTGGGGCAATTAGCTACGTCATTGTTCACCGCCGGACACCCGCTGGAAATAAGGAATGGATTTACAACCGCTATTAACGTATTCGTAACATATTCCAGGTGAGTGTGATGTTGCTTATACGATCGAGTGACAGTTTTACTCTGCAGCCGTAATAATTTGGTGGGCCTAAGCCTCGGTGAATTGTTGTAATATCCTTACACCGGTTCTCTGTCATGTCGGAGAGAGCAGCGCGATGAGTGCACACAGCCACCGGTGTCGAGCCCCTCCTTTCTCAGCTAGCTAGATGCCCTGTTACCCAGGCCTACACATCTTAAATCTAAATTATTTGGAAGCGGAAGCAGAAAACTGCTCACAGACATTTACAGTAAATGGCTATGTTATTCTCCGCCATGTCAGAGAGCGCCCATCGTGCCGAGCTAGCTAGCAGCGTTAGCATCAATATTAACGCACGAGCGCCGCCGCACGTAATGTTAGCTGCGTTCGGTGGCTATGTGTTACGTTCACCGTTTCCATGGTGTTGGTGGCTTCTCGAGCCGCCCGCTCCTTATCAGTCATTCTGTTCCATACTTCGACGAGGAAGGTAGGCTTTTAGTCGGTGCTCTGTCTCCCATGAGGGCTAACAAAGCCTTAATTCGTGTTTTACTGAAGTTACGCGGCGCTGCGTGTTAAAGGCCTAGCAGCCGTCTGTTAGCCAATGTGAGCCAGTCTGCCGGAGCAGGTGGGAGGGAACAGCTGCTGTTTTAAACATGCTTCCGACCAGGACATTTCCTCGGTGGCGTTTTTAAACCAATAACAATGACTTCGTAAGTTTTGCTAACTCAGTTCCATCTTAGGTCTCATACGTCGATCGGTTTGAACATATTCAAATAGAAATGAATGCCTTCCTAGTGTTTCTGACGTTTGTTGTGTAGCGAAAAGAAACATTGCTAGGTGTCCATAAATGGCTGTCACTGACGTCTAAGTACATTAGTTTTTCGATACAAAGAGAGGCTGCAAGATAAATGTACTATTGTTAATCCATAGCTTTAGTTAATAGATACGTTTAAGTGTGATCAGTCAGTTAAGGCTTTTCTCCAACACTAAGTCATTGTAGTCATAATCATAATATACAATGCTAGGTGTAATAACAACATGCAACAAGAATTCAGTGCTGAGAGATTTAGCTATTTCTAACTGCTTCTATTGAGATTGGTTACTTTGTTATACAAATAATCTACTGTTTAAAAAATTGATCCAAAAATTATTAGATTTAGTATTGTAATCTTGACTGTGTTTTACTAAGTACTAGATAAGAGTGAAAATAGATAATTCAGATATTACAGTGTATTTGACGACAGTTGCTGATCATTTGTGATAAATAGTGATGTGTTAGCTGTGCAATTTAGTGGTTATAATTTTAATGCAATGTAATTTAATTTAGTGAAGGGCAGAATGGTCTTTAAAAGCAAAAACTGTATATAATCTACCACCCATTTCACTTGTGTAGAACAATCCAACAAGTTAAGAAAACTATGTCCCTTTTAAATATGTCCTTTTAAGAAGAAGACATTTGAGATGTGTCACAATAAACCACACACAGATCTACACCTAAAGCAACATGAATGAAAAACAAAAAACCTTGGAATTTATCTGTATTTCCTGCAGCTCCTAAAGCTGTATACCTCTGTGTTTCTGCCCCTCACACAGCAATGAACAATGACCATAGTTGACAGATCTTCAGAAAAATCTGACCACGAGTCAGTCGGGTGTAAGCGATCCCCCTTCACCAGTGGAGACGTGGGGATGGACGGCAGCTGTTCCAGCAGCTGGGCAGTGGGCCCCACAATGCCCAGTGACTCTCCGAGGCTGAAGGCTCCAGGAGGCTGCCTGGGCCCCACGCCTGGAGCTGCCGTCTACAACAGTACCCCCTCCCCTGTGGACCGACCCAAGGAGCAAGGTAAGAGCAAGCAGAAATTATGAATGTATTTAAGGCTAATATCAATAGTCAATGTTTCACCACCCATATTGGGAATGCTGATGTACACCTGTTGTGTTGCAAATGCTGGTACAAAACATGTATTAAGTTGTTTTCACAAAAAAGACCATGTTTCTGATTTCCATTTTCTTTTGCTGAATTAGATATGATGCTTTAAGTGAGTTAAATTTTATACACAAGTAATGCAAAGCTAAACTAATGAAGCTAAAGTTTACAGCTACTGTTTCTGTATGAGAGTGTGACACAACTGGTTTTGTGGGTGTTGTGTTGCTGTTTCTACTCTACTTTCATTCATCCAGTTACATAACTAAGCCAGTTTTGAAGTGGGAGCATGATCAATCATTTGAGCTTGTGACGCAATAGGTGTTTAGATATAAAGAGCAGCAGCCTTACTTGTTTTGCAGAAACAAAAGAGAAAGCTATCTGTGTCTTGTTTTTTTTTCTTCTTCAGCTTGTTTTACAGTTTTACTAAGTAGTCAGAATCACATTATATAACTGATTAGATTGATAGGTATGACTGTAAGGTACTGATGTTCATTTACCATATGTCTGTATGTACTTACATAAACAATGTAGCATATATACAGATACTTGTTGATTTCCTGGATCTGGCAAATACATTGACTCTAATTTTAGTAATGGTGTTGCCTCTGTTTGTCCAGTGATAAGCGGTGGTGACGGCATCGACTTGCCCCAGAAGGTCCTCTTCCCTCCAGAGCGGCTCAACCTGAAGTGGACCCAGGTTCACCGCATTGGTGCAGGTCTGCAGAACATGGGGAACACCTGCTTCCTCAACTCAGCCCTGCAGTGTCTCACCTACACCTCTCCGTTCACCAACTACATGCTGACACGGGAGCACTCTAAAACATGTGAGCTAGTGCTAAGTGTTTTGATGGTGCATCTTTGCACTAAAGTTCTTGTGTAATTGTACAATCGTGAAATTGAAAAGTATCTATGAGCGGCTTTCTTGCCTGAATCATGTCTTACTCATTAGTGTTGTTGTCCATCTTTCCCTGCCACAGGTCATGAGCCGGGGTTCTGTATGATGTGTACCATGCAAAACCACATCATTCAGGTTTTTGCCAACTCTGGGAATGTCATTAAGCCCATTGGTGTGATCAATGAGCTCAAAAGTAAGTGACTGCCTGTAAAACTAGAACGTTGAAGTTGTGCCCTTTTACAAAATATTTACCTAAAACGAATGACAGGAGGCGCTGTGTGGCTGTTTACCTTTTCATTTTGGAGGGAAATTTTCTGGTGAAAGTTAGGAGTTAGAAATCTGCTGTTAAAATCATTGGTGCTATTTACCAAGCTTGCATGTCTTCCGCTTTGCATTTTTTTTCCCCCACAGGGATAGCAAAGCACTTCCGCTATGGAAGCCAAGAGGATGCCCATGAGTTCCTGCGGTACACAGTTGATGCTATGCAAAAGTCCTGCTTACCTGGAACCAAGTAAGGTTCATCCTATGCTGTGTATGGAGTAAGAAATGGATAACTCGCAACCACATGTTTACTCTGAAAGGTTGACAAAAATGTTCTAAATCATTAGATGGTTACTTATTCAATTTTAATATAGGTCATGAACTGAAGTAAGTTGCATAACATTAGAAGGAAACTTTAATTTATGTATTTTGTTGGATCCACTGAACATTCTGCAGAGGCCATTGAGGATAGACGCTGCATAAAAACTCCATGTAGATATAGGGAAGTATTTATTTTTACTGCTGAAGTATATCAAATCAGTGTACTGCCGAGTAAGTTATGTTCCCTTAGAAAGCCTGCATGCATTTTTAACTGAAAGTACAGCAGGGCATGTTTAATTGATACATTGCTGACCAATATGGTTCTCAGGGACTCTTAAAATTGATTTTTAGAACCTCGAGTATCAAGTCCATTATTTATTATTATTCTCTACTAACAGGTGGCTTCTTAACTAGTGACTCTTGCTCTAATTCCTCCCTTTCTCACTCCTGCTCTTTGGGCTGTAATATGTTGTAACTTGTCGTTGCAAAATACCTTAAAGCAACTTTTTTTTCTCTGTACCAGTATAGCCAGAAAATATTTATTTAATAAGGCAGACAGTGAATTATGTCACCGCCCTAATTTGTTGGGTTTTTTTTATCCTCATAATATTTATCTTTGTGACAGATTGGACAGGCAAACACAGGCAACCACTTTCATCCATCAAGTATTTGGCGGGTACCTAAGGTCCAGAGGTAAGTGATTAGTGTTGATTTGTTTCTTCTACTTGATGTCATGTTTTTATATTTTACAACTTCTCTACACTAATAACACTGATTTGTCTTTTTCAGTTAAATGTTTAAACTGCAAAGCAGTCTCAGATACATTTGACCCTTTTCTGGATATTACTCTTGAAATTAAGGTAATTAACTTAAGTTCTCAATCACTTGTGAGTCTGACATGTCTGTTTTACTGCAAATATGTAACAAATCAGTTCATTCAGATTTAATCACGGATCTTTAATAGTACCAGACCTCAAAATTGATTTTTCTCTCTATGCAGACGGCTCCCAGTGTCTCCAAAGCTCTGGAGCAGTTTGTTAAACCAGAGCAGCTGGATGGAGAAAACGCCTACAAATGCACCAAGTAAGTTGTTTAACTAACAAAATCAATTTAGCAAAGACGACAAGTGTTTTATTTGTTTGTTTATTTATGTATATGTCAATTTGCTGTCTAACCACTGAACATTTCTCCCCATTAGGTGCAAAAAAATGGTCACAGCCTCAAAGAGATTTACCATCCACCGCAGCTCTAACGTGCTCACCCTCTCACTCAAACGGTTTGCAAACTTCAGTGGAGGCAAAATTACTAAGGTAGCCTGACACACACGGACTAACATGTTCACAGCCATAATATAACCATGGATGGCTAAGTGAATATTTGATGGTGATTTGATATTAATCAGCTGTTTTATGGTCAATAGGATGTGAAATATCCAGAGTACCTGGACCTGCGGCCTTTCATGTCTCAGTCCCAGGGAGAGTCCCAGGTCTACGGGCTGTATGCTGTACTGGTCCACTCTGGATTCAGCTGTCATGCTGGACACTATTTCTGCTATATTAAGGTACTGGCACTGCCACGGATCACTGTTCCAATCTATCAGGACACTGTTGTTGCCAAGTGCACATGCACACATTTATCTCTACGACACTCCATCAACAGCTCATTTTATCAGAGTTGAATGCGGAGTTGATACAAAAGCGTTGTCAGACTGAGGTCTGAACTGAGAAATTACACATAAATTTTTTATTTTTTCCCCCAGGTTCTCGTTTTAGATCATACAAAAACATGGAAAAGTATATAACATTACTCTATAATATGTTTGACCACACGTTAATATGGTGATATTTATACTCAGCAGTCAAAATGTCTCAATTTTATTTTATTGAACAAGTCAAATTCAGAAACTGAGAAAAGTACATATTTGAAATGTAACACAAATGAATCTATTGTGTCAAACCTGCCACCTCTCTATTGTGTCTCACAGGCGAGCAACGGTCAGTGGTATCAAATGAACGACTCCTCTGTGTCTGTCAGTGACATCAGGTCTGTTCTCAACCAGCAGGCATATGTCCTTTTCTACATCAAGTGAGTAAACCATAATTGTTTTTAGAATTAAACAGAAATGTATGTATTCATATTGTGTGGTTCTCCGCTCACACTCAGAATATGCTTTATAATATATATCCCTGTATAATATGTATATTATATTTAATGTTGTTTTAAACTGTGCCTAATACTGAGATTTCAACTCTGGTTACACACCAGCACAACTTGTTTTTCTTCTTTCTTCTTTGTTTCATGTTTCCCTTGCTAATGTCCCTTCCTTTGGTGCCATCAGATCCAATGATGTGAAAAAAACAGGGGACTACGGTCACATGAGCCATAACCCGGGAATCCCTGGTCAGTCGTCTCCGCGACCTGTGGTGATACCACGCATCAACACCACCGTCCACCACAACAACATTGGCTTCATAGGTCCCCAGCTGCCCCCACACATGACTAAGGTACTGCAGACATGCTTTCATCATATGCTTGTGATTAAGCATATTTTAATGTTGTTAATTTAATTATGTAGCCAGTGTTAAGCCTAGACACTCGAAACATGTTCTTGTGTCCTTGTTTTCTCCTCAGAGCGCTCTCCACGTCAATGGGAATGGATCTCTGAGGGACTATCCCACAAGCTCCAAGCCTAGCACCAGCAGCAGTGTTGTGGGAAAACCTAGCCATGGACTGGCCTCTTCCTCCTCCATCTCCCACTCGATCAGCCGGCCCACAATGATCCCAGATCACGACAAACGCCAGAAGCTTTCATTCTTTATTGGACAAGGCAAACAGAACCGCCCATCCTCCTCCTCCTCCTCCTCCTCCTCCTCCTCCTCATCATCCTCTTACAGCCAGCCGTCCTCTGCCAGCAGCAGCAGCTCCTCCTCCAGCTCTTTATCCTCCTCACAATCTACCTCAGATATCCACTCAGACGTTCGCTTTGTTCCTCGTCAGCTTAACCATGTTAACGGCACGTCTTGCAGTAACGGGGATCACCATACTGGAGGTAATGGAGCGTCGTTCCTGGTGCCGTACGGCCAAGAGTCGTCAGAGGAATCAGACCAGGAGAACTGTGGCGCTCTGGATAACGGCTGTTTAGCCAAGTCGCATCTTAATGGAAATAACACAACAGGAGATGTCTTTGATAATTCTCCTCAAGCCACAAATGGAGAGTCAGGAGTGCACCATAATGGTAACGGATTAAATGGATCAACCTATGGCGTCTCTAAATCAGGCCAAAACGGGCACCATTATGGACAACACAAAATCAATGGACACAAAACCTCTGAGAAGGTAAATCACATGCTTTGTGTTTTTGTTATCTCTATAATATAAAATCTCTATAATATGTAGATTTTTTTTTTGTTGTTGCATAAACAGTAGTTTTAAATGAATAATGACGTGATGTTTGTGCCCTTCAGATCTCTGGCAGTAATCTTGGAAGTGTTTCCTCTGTGGCTCCCATTGCTACTAATGGAGTAGATGGTGACCATGGTGAACCAAGGTACGGGCGCATTCTAACAATGAGGAGGACGAAAAGTTGATGCTGTGTCAACCAGAAATCTCTAAGGAGTAGTTACAGGAATAACTATTGCTTCAGTTGGTCGCATTGAAATCTGAATTGTTTTTCTCATAACACCCTAAAATTTTGGCGGAAAGCGTTATTTATGTGTTTTTCTGTTTTGTTTCTCCAGCAAAGAGGTTTATAATTCAGCCTCATCCCACCAGGCCAGTTCTTCTCAGAGCGTCCATCCGGCTGCCAGTGAAAGCCAGCACCTCTCCACTCCTCACACAAGGGCTAAAACTGTGTCTGAACCCCTGCTTCAGCATACAGCATCTTCCGCTGTCAGCACGCCACCTTCATCTACTGCTACAAAGACCCATTCTGTCGGATCTAGTGAATCTGCTTCCGCTTCTGCACATCATGGCAACCCTGCGGCCTTATCCACCCCGCCAGACTGCTCCCAAAGCACCAGTGGGGCACCTGCTGCTCCACAGAAGGTTAGCGTAAGTGGGGCTGAAGCCAAGGATCTACCACAGACCAATGGACCGTCAGCAGGGAATGAAGGACGTACAGATGCTAAGGAGCAGCATCAGTACAAGCCCAGTTCTAAAGGGAATGAAAGACAACCTTCCCGAGACAGGGAGAGAGACAGACTGCACTCTGACTGGAGCAGAGACAGAGAAAGACACTACAGGGACAGGAGTCAGGAGCGAGAAAGTGACAGTGATCGTCATCGATACAGGCGGGACTACCGAGATCACCGCCACCATCATCGCTCGTACAGGGATCGTTTGCCTCCCCATGATCGATACTACAGGGACTGGGATTCTGAGCGTCGCTATGAGCGGACTGTCCACCACCCCAGGGAGCGCGATCGCGACAGGTGCTCTCACCATTACCACTACTACCACCACCACAGATCCAGAGAGGCCTGGGACTCTGAGCGGAGGGGACACGGCTATTCATACCGCGAGGACTCTCACAGTCGCTGGAGGTGGCAGCAGGAGAGTCGAGAATCCCGGGTGACAAAGGACAAGAGCAACGGCAGGGAGAGGAACTGTTACCCTTCAAAAGAGGAGACTTCCTTGCCGGACACAATGCCAGAAACATCCTCAAAGTCCAAGGACTCGCCCCCTCGGGCTCCTCTCTCCACGTCTAGATCAGCTCCAAACAGGGAGGATCAAAATCACAAAAGGACTGTTGATAATCCGGGCAAGGAGAGAGACGACAGCTCTGAGGCCTGTCACTCTAAAAAACACAAAAAGAGCAAGAAAAAGAAGAAGTCAAAGGATAAAGACAGACACCGTGAGAGCGGGTGAGTGATGCAATTGATAATCAATAGTTTTATACCTTTTTACAGCAGCAATAGTGGAAAAAATGCTAACCATTCTCTGGTGTCAGCTTCTCAAAAGTAAGGTCTGCTGCTTTATAACTGTAGCCTGTAATGTTTGGGTTTTAAAACGAGACGTTTGAAGACGTTTCCTCGTTGATTTAGATTTTTTATTTTTATATTTGGTATCTCCTAGTAACAGAGTTTTAGACTTACATAATTTGTTGTGATGATTACGATGCCTGATGTCTTAGTTAGTTTAGATTTAAATCGTGGATTAAGAATAATCATCGTGTATTTTCTGTCTTCCCCCTAGTAGTTCTGACATGGATTCAGACAGAGCCGCTGAAATGAAAAAGAAAAAGAAGAAAAGCAGGAGGCAGCGGGACAGTGATGCGGAGCAGCACAGTCCAGGAGCCACTCAGAGCCACAAGAACAGAAGCAGCGAGGAGAGGGAAAGCCGCAAGCGACGTCACCATGACAGCAAGGACGCTAAACATGACAACGGTTTTTCACCGGAAAAACGCCGGCGCACAGACTACACTGATGGCAGCAGTGACCATCTACCCCCCTCTCATCACACCTCACCCACTAACGGTTCATCTCACCGCCATCTCAATGGATACACAGGTATTAGAGATTTTTCACATTCAGAGTCATCCCCTAAAACCACCATAATGCTGAGTTAAATGCTGCTGTGGAGCTTGTCAGTTTGAAGTGTTGATCCTGTTTTGTAGGAAACGGTTACAGCCGAACCAATGGCGACTCCCACGGATTCTCCAGTGGCCTGAAACATTGACTCAGTGAGTGGGCGTCTTTTTTAATGATCATCGCAGTATGCTCTCGTGCTGTCGGTGCTAACAAACAGGAGGAACTCTCATATAGGCACAAATGTTTGGACTCATGGCTCTGCAAACAAAGTGTATGAAGTACTCTTCTTTGTCATTTCAGACACATCAACACCATTTTAACAACAGCAGAGGAATGACATCAACAACTTTTTGACATGGTGCTTCTTCATTGGGAATATATTGTATTTTTACCACAACTAAAGTGTTTTAAAATGTTCAGAAATCTTTTTTTAAGGCATTGATTTATTTGCCGCAATTCTCCTAACTATGGTTAAAAAGGCAAAACTGTCACCTTGTTGAACATTTATGATGAAAAATATTAATATATACTTGTATGAACACAAACAAAGCCTGGAGCTTAAACATCTCAGCTGCTGCTCAGTGGAACTCAGGACTTGAAAACTTGTTAACATCCATCACAGATATCCACATGCTTCAATAAAGAATGAAACAAAAGGGAAACTGCCTAAGAGAACTGTAAGGCATCATGTTGACTGCAAGTTTAAGATGTCACCATATCGACAGAGCTGCAAAATGTTTTGCTTTTTTTTTTTGGCTATTTTTCTTTTTCTTTGATCCCACTGGGAGCAGACAAACTGAAGGAGGGAGATATTCTTGAATGAGGCAGACCAGTGCAGTGGCGGGAACAAGGCTTCGCTGACTGATACCTCCACTCTAACCCTGGACAGACTTGAGGACATTTCCCAGTTTTTTTCCTGTTTTGTTTTCATTTTGCTCTGAAGCCTAAGATTCACTCGCTGTAATTTTTAAACTTTTTCACAAGATGCGGATTTTTCTCTAGATCCTGGCTCGCTCTCTCTCCTCACACATTATTTTTCTTTTTAAATGTTCAAAAAGAAAAGCATCAAAAATTTGTTATCATGGCTGTGGACCATTTGTGTTTGCTTTTTAATGAAAAATACAGTTTGTGTCTTCTAGCATCATAAAAAAAATACTGTGAATTTAATTTTGAACTGTACTATCAGTTATTTTTATACATAAAAATCCTGTATCAGGATTATCAGTAGATGTTATGTTGTTTTGCTCTGTTTTTAGAAAAACCTTGTTAATTTTGACCATATTCTTTGGACAAAAGACAATAATGAGTATGGTTAGCTTTTGTTTTTTTGTTTTGTTTTTTTTTTTTTCAATTTTAGACAGACGTTGAAAAACTGCTGTTATACCTTTTAGTTTAGCATGTCAGAATTTATACATTGTATAAGGTAAAAGCCTTAAAATACATTTATTAATGGCAGAAATTGTAATTTGTTCTTGGTCTTTGACGTTGTTTACAAGTTGCATTGAAATGAATGAAAAATTCTGATTGAGACGAATGACGAGTTGCCAGGGACTTTTGAACAAGCTCCTGTCTGCCTTTATATTATATAGAATAGATTGATTGTATGTGTTGAACGAACTTTCACTACAGTAAAATTATGATGTAGATACGGTCAGGGAGGGTGTAAGCTGGTGGCACTCGTCTCTATTCAGGTTTTGTTAAATACACACACTTTTCTAGCGGTCAGGGTCAGCGAGGCGGCTCAGCTCACTATCATTTATTCACAACACTGTTTCCATGTTTGAAATAACCAAAGACCTGGTAAGTTTTGGCGAGTCGAGCTCCTCTTACTGAATTCACACAAAAGTTGTTCTCTGATCAGCATGTATTTTTATTCAAAGTCTTCATCAAAGTATTCAGGAGCAGTTTTCCCAAACCAACATCAAACCAGGTTTAAACCTAAAAGCTGCACCACCTGTGGGTTGGTTTGATCAAGTCTGGGGGAAAAAAAAAAAAAAAAACAGTCCTCAGATTCCAGTCAGTGTTCACATGATTGAAGTTCACTTGTTCAAGGGTATTTTAAAACCCACTTACATCCTATGCTCTCTCAGCATACTGAGTTCTTCTTTCATATAACATCATGTGTCATCTGATCCTTAGTAATAACACAGTGAGGAGGTTTCACTGCTCTGCACAAGGTCCCTCTTCCACTATTGTAAACTGTTAGCTGTTGAACTAAAAATGTGAACGGGTATAGGCTATGGCCATTATGATTTACATGCTACATAAACACAACAAAGAAGAAAAAGAAAACGGTATGTACATTATATACTATACATGCATAATGTAAGTCGGGGGCTGCCTCTTTTGTTAAACAATAAGAAAATAAATACAAAAGAAATGAACTTGATCACAGAGGTGGATCTTCAATACATAACCGTACAGAATTAATATATGATGCATTTTAGCTTCTTCAAACTGTGGCCACTTACAAGGGTCATTCCACTGAATATATGTTCAGTGTTATTCCCCGAACTGTTTACTTCTTTGTTTTCAAAGAGGAAATAAGGGGGTGCACTGTAAATGTAAAAAGAATATGAGCCTAAGTTTGATTTTCTTGAATAAATCAGTGTTTGCATATACAGATACAGTCACTTGAGGGCTAACAATCAGACCAGCTGATTTAAAAGTTTGAGGCTTTCTGTAGTTAGAGGATATTATAAAACATGGTTGGTGTTGGCAAGGACATGTGAGGTGAAGATAAAATGTTGACTGGCATCTGGGAGTCTCGCTGGCAGAGAGCAGATAACCAACCAGATGAGCCGCTCTGGATGAAAGGAATGACATATGACCAGGGAGGTTCAGGTTTCAAATCCTCACTATCTCTTTGTAGTGCAGTAGATGTAATTCCTTACAGGTCCAGCAGAGGGCAATATCGCCACAGCCACATTATGTAGAAATGTCCTATGATTCCAGTCATGGCTGTTCTGCCAGTCCTCATCCTGTTGTCCAATAACATCCAGTTAGGTAAAGATTTTGCAGTTCCTTCTACACCGTGTCACCTCAGTGTTTAAGTCCGCACCGGAAGAAATAGAAACCTTTCATTCACATCAGTCTTCGATTGAGGTGCAGACCGTCTTCAGGTGGAAATAAACCATTCAGTCTGAAAAACTCCACCTGTGTCTGCTGCTTGTCCTCCAGCCCTGAAATAGCAATCGGGAGTCCTTCATAAGCCCTGTAACACACGTCATACGCACAAAAACGCACAAAAACACACACACACACACACACACACAAGGACTCTGCTGGTCACAGAAACAGTGGTGATGAAGATGGGGCGGACATCATTTCTTATTCGCTATCCTCCGCTTCCTGGTGGCCAGCATGTCGTAGAAAGGATCCCTGCTGATGCTCGCTCTGTGGAGAGACGACACGAAGGAGCACGTCACTGATCAACTGTTTAACTGTCCACATCAATCCTACACACTCTTTAGTCTCCCACTGATTTTAAGACTGACTGTGGTTTTGTTTGTGGGACTGATATGTCAAAGAAACTCAAACCTAATGCAGAGCTTACAGAAAACAACATTAAACATGATCAGTTTGTGATGTTTAGAGCGATCTGGAACTATTTTGGGATGAGATTCAGTAATTTCTCTGTGTACTAACCTGACCTTAATCTGTCTTGTCACTATCAGTCAGTGCATCCTTCCCAAAACACATTATGTCTTGTGCCTGCATTGCATTCTGGTGGGTTTAGAAATTTGCTTTGATTCTGACTGATCAACATCAAAACATGATGTTTACGGTGATTTGTTACACCTCCAAAACGTGTTCTTTACTCAAACTCCACTTGCTGTGCTATAAATATCTCAACATCTCATCATTTATATTATCCACAGAAAAAAATACACAGTAAAGTGCAACCACACTTGATGAGCATGATGGTTTTTTGCCACTATTGGATAAGGTTTCCAATAACTCCATGTAACTATGACTATTCTTGTTGCCTGCATATTTATGGGGATTCAGTGTGCTTGTTAATGGAAAACTCTGATCACCACAAAACTCTTCTTTAAACAACACAAAGGTGGAAAACTAGCAAACTAGTATTTTAGGGTGGATTTTCTTTTATTGTGGGGCAGGTAGGCAAAACAATCATGCATTTTATGATTAAAGCATGAAGGTTTCAGCATATAATTCTACATACCCTAAGGTTTTATTTCAGACTGGAGGCAATTTGTAACTGACCTCTGGTGACCTTGGGATGTCATTGACCTCAGCATTTTGAATTTATTTCAATTTCTCTATTATAATCATGTATTTCTTTGCCAGGATTGCATAAAGTTGTGTCTTTGCTGCTGTGCCGGTGTATCATAATTTTTTTCTTAGAGCACCAATTTTGCAGGGGGACTGCAGATCCCACCATTTCCAGGTGTTAAGTAAGTAAAGCATAAAATGTCATAGTATAGTAAGGCATAAAAATGCGAAAAAACGACATAAGGCAAAAAAATGCGAAAAAACGTCATAGTATAGTAAGGCATAAAAATGCGAAAAAACGACATAGTATAGTAAGGCAAAAAATGTGAGAAAACGATATAGTATAGTAAGCCATAAAAATGCGAAAAAACGTCATAGTATAGTGTGGCATAAAAATGTGACAAAACGTCATAGCATAGTAAGGCAAAAAATGTCATAGTATAGTAAGGCATAAAAATGTGAAAAAACGTCATAGTATAGTAAGGCAAAAAATGTCATAGTATAGTAAGGCATAAAAATGTGAAAAAACGTCATAGTATAGTAAGGCAAAAAATGTCATAGTATAGTAAGGCATAAAAATGTGAAAAAACGTCATAGTATAGTAAGGCAAAAAATGTCATAGTATAGTAAGGCATAAAAATGTGAAAAAACGTCATAGTATAGTAAGGCAAAAAATGTCATAGTATAGTAAGGCATAAAAATGTGAAAAAACGTCATAGTATAGTAAGGCAAAAAATGTCATAGTATAGTAAGGCATAAAAATGTGAAAAAACGTCATAGTATAGTAAGGCAAAAAATGTCATAGTATAGTAAGGCATAAAAATGTGAAAAAACGTCATAGTATAGTAAGGCAAAAAATGTCATAGTATAGTAAGGCATAAAAATGTGAAAAAACGTCATAGTATAGTAAGGCAAAAAATGTCATAGTATAGTAAGGCATAAAAATGTGAAAAAACGTCATAGTATAGTAAGGCAAAAAATGTCATAGTATAGTAAGGCATAAAAATGTGAAAAAACGTCATAGTATAGTAAGGCAAAAAATGTCATAGTATAGTAAGGCATAAAAATGTGAAAAAACGTCATAGTATAGTAAGGCAAAAAATGTCATAGTATAGTAAGGCATAAAAATGTGAAAAAACGTCATAGTATAGTAAGGCAAAAAATGTCATAGTATAGTAAGGCATAAAAATGTGAAAAAACGTCATAGTATAGTAAGGCAAAAAATGTCATAGTATAGTAAGGCATAAAAATGTGAAAAAACGTCATAGTATAGTAAGGCAAAAAATGTCATAGTATAGTAAGGCATAAAAATGTGAAAAAACGTCATAGTATAGTAAGGCAAAAAATGTCATAGTATAGTAAGGCATAAAAATGTGAAAAAACGTCATAGTATAGTAAGGCAAAAAATGTCATAGTATAGTAAGGCATAAAAATGTGAAAAAACGTCATAGTATAGTAAGGCAAAAAATGTCATAGTATAGTAAGGCATAAAAATGTGAAAAAACGTCATAGTATAGTAAGGCAAAAAATGTCATAGTATAGTAAGGCATAAAAATGTGAAAAAACGTCATAGTATAGTAAGGCAAAAAATGTCATAGTATAGTAAGGCATAAAAATGTGAAAAAACGTCATAGTATAGTAAGGCAAAAAATGTCATAGTATAGTAAGGCATAAAAATGTGAAAAAACGTCATAGTATAGTAAGGCAAAAAATGTCATAGTATAGTAAGGCATAAAAATGTGAAAAAACGTCATAGTATAGTAAGGCAAAAAATGTCATAGTATAGTAAGGCATAAAAATGCGAAAAAACGTCATAGTATAGTGTGGCATAAAAATGTGACAAAACGTCATAGCATAGTAAGGCAAAAAATGTCATAGTATAGTAAGGCATAAAAACGTCATAGTATAGTAAGGCATAAAATGTGAAAAAACGTCATAGTATAGTAAGGCATAAAATGTGAAAAAACGTCATAGTATAGTAAGGCATAAAATGTGAAAAAACGTCATAGTATAGTAAGGCATAAAATGTGAAAAAACGTCATAGTATAGTAAGGCATAAAATGTGAAAAAACGTCATAGTATAGTAAGGCATAAAATGTGAAAAAACGTCATAGTATAGTAAGGCATAAAATGTGAAAAAACGTCATAGTATAGTAAGGCATAAAATGTGAAAAAACGTCATAGTATAGTAAGGCATAAAATGTGAAAAAACGTCATAGTATAGTAAGGCATAAAATGTGAAAAAACGTCATAGTATAGTAAGGCATAAAATGTGAAAAAACGTCATAGTATAGTAAGGCATAAAATGTGAAAAAACGTCATAGTATAGTAAGGCATAAAATGTGAAAAAACGTCATAGTATAGTAAGGCATAAAATGTGAAAAAACGTCATAGTATAGTAAGGCATAAAATGTGAAAAAACGTCATAGTATAGTAAGGCATAAAATGTGAAAAAACGTCATAGTATAGTAAGGCATAAAATGTGAAAAAACGTCATAGTATAGTAAGGCATAAAATGTGAAAAAACGTCATAGTATAGTAAGGCATAAAAATGCGAAAAAACGTCATAGTATAGTATGGCATAAAAATGCGAAAAAATGTCATAGTATAGTAAGGCATAAAAATCGTAAAAAACGATATAGTATAGTTAGGCATAAAAATGTGAAAAAACGTCATAGTATAGTAAGGCATAAAAATGCGAAAAAAACGTCATAGTATAGTAAGGCATAAAAATGCGAAAAAACGACATAGTATAGTTAGGCATAAAAATGTGAAAAAACGTCATAGTATAGTAAGGCATAAAAATGCGAAAAAACATCATAGTATAGTAAGGCAAAAAATGTCATAGTATAGTAAGCCATAAAAATGCGAAAAAACGTCATAGTATAGTAAGGCATAAAAATGCGAAAAAACGTCATAGTATAGTAAGGCATAAAAATGTGAAAAAACGTCATAGTATAGTAAGGCAAAAAATGTCATAGTATAGTAAGCCATAAAAATGCGAAAAAACGTCATAGTATAGTATGGCATAAAAATGTGAAAAAACGATATAGTATAGTTAGGCATAAAAATGTGAAAAAACGTCATAGTATAGTAAGGCATAAAAATGCGAAAAAACATCATAGTATAGTAAGGCAAAAAATGTCATAGTATAGTAAGCCATAAAAATGCGAAAAAACGTCATAGTATAGTATGGCATAAAAATGTGAAAAAACGATATAGTATAGTTAGGCATAAAAATGCGAAAAAACGTCATAGTATAGTAAGGCATAAAAATGCGAAAAAACGACATAGTATAGTAAGGCATAAAAATGTGAAAAAACGTCATAGTATAGTAAGGCATAAAAATGCGAAAAAACGTCATAGTATAGTAAGGCAAAAAACGTCATAGTATAGTAAGGCATAAAAATGCAAAAAACGACATAGTATAGTAAGGCATAAAAATGCGAAAAACGTCATATTATAGTAAGGCATAAAATGTCATAGTATACTAAAGCATAATTTTTTTTTTTAGAGGGGGGCGGGGGGCTGCAGATCCCACCATTTCCAGGTGTTAAGGTAACTATAGCTTGTTAAAAACACTGACAACTTCTGCTGTGTGTTCTATGGAATTAAATGACTAGCTAGCACATTAGCATTCTTCTTCTAATCAGAAGCTAGCATGCTTGTATGCTCTGGACCACTCATTATTCCAGGGGGCTCTGTCCTGTCCCAGAGGTCATTCCAGATGCCTCCATGTCTGAAAATAAACTTTATGGTTTATAGAAACACTGGAGAAAGTTTCATGCTTTAGGCATAAAATGCACAACACCTTCCATATACAAGCTTATCTGCTGCACTATTAATGCTGTGATTCTTTAGCTTTAGCACAGACAAGCTAGCATATTATCATATATATATACACACACACACACACATAACATCATATGTTTAGCAACATTCACATCCACTTTGAATTGTGTTTCTGGCCACCTAAGGAATGTGAAGTCCAATATTAACTCTCCTTTTGATTCTGTTATGCTATGAGAACAATGAGAGCGAACCAAAACAGTAAACTCTTGGGCCGTAAAAATGCGTCACAGAGCTGAGAGGGTCATCTTGACAAGCGACACCTCTCACATTACACAGGCATTTGATACGTTGTTATCAGAAAAACTGGATTATAGCTGCTTAAAATTGTTGTTAGCGTGTGTTCATGCAGCTCTACACCTTCCCTTCATATCCTGAGGTGTTGTCAGTGTCACACTAAAGATGAATAAGGCTGAGTAATCCACAGCCTTCCCAGCAGCAGAACACTGGACATGCTGAGATGGCCAGTCCTGTACGTGTCTGTGTGCACAGAAGAGTTACCACCAGAGCAATTTCCACCCTTGCAGATGAGTCAGGTGTGGATATAACGTGTGTGTGTGTGTGTGTGTGTGTGTGTGTGTGTGTGTGTGTGTGTGTGGTGGGTGCGTGTGTGAATCTGCTGACCACAGGACAGTCTGCCGCCGCAGCAGCTGAGTCAAGTGAGAGTGTGGTTGAAGCACTGTCTTGCTGAGTCCAATCTGTGATCTTTATCGTTCCAACAACAGGAAGAGGCTTTGCCTTATGATGTGCAAGAGATAGCACTCCTGGTTCACACTTGTACTTTTATACTAAAAGCGCTCTGAGGTTGCAACAGAGTGTGAAACCTGTAATCCAGGCAGTGTGTCATCTGAAGGTCAACCAACTCTAAATTTTCCAACCTGAGAAAAATGAGCACTTCTCTCCTCTTTGCAATCACTTTAACTGTACATGAAGCAGCCTCACCAGAATAAGACTGCAGTAACTTAGCTGAAAAAACCCATCACTTTCATTTAATGGATACACATCTGTCAATGCTAACTGGGTTTTTAATATCATTAGAGCATGGAAGGACCGTGTAATATGATTTTTCCTCTGGTATTGATCATATTTGCCAGTGAAGCTGCAGCTGAGTGGATGATAACCAGCGAGCTGATCAATTACCCACTGGGTCCAATTTACTGCTGCACCTCCACTCCTCTCACTGGTTAACAAGACAGCATTTGGATATGACAAATCGAGTGTAAAGCCTGCCAAAACAGTTCTGAGAGTGCAGCAAGTGTCTGAATAGGTGTGCGTGCATGTGTGTTTGTCTTTGTGTTTGAGCGCTACTCAATGGGAAGTGAGTTTATCCAGCAGAGCAGAAATCACCTCTGAGTGTTATCTGTGTGGAAGTGTGAGAAACAGAGTCACATTCAGTCACCAGCATGTGTGTGTGTGTGTGTGTGTGTGTGTGTATTTGTGCTGGTGTGCACATTTATGATTAAGCTCACAGCTCTGTGTATGTGTGTGTGTAGATTTCTCACAGTCAAGGTCAGACATGAGAAAGGCCCACATGGGAGCAGCCCCGTGTTGGCTAAGTGCCCTCTCAGTGTAAATGGATCCACACTATCGTGCCGCCTCTTACTTGATGGATTTGATCCACTCCTCCTTTTCCTCTGGCGTGGGGGCCGATATCCTGTACACCACGTGGTTGCCCTCAACGACCCGCCCGTCCGCCTCCGTCTTGCAGGCCTTGATCACCTGACCTTTGTGGTTGGGGTTGTAGAGCTCAAAGCAATTCTGGGAAGAGATCAGGAGGCATGCAAACGATATGTATGCTGCAAAAAAAATAACGTCTCTGAGAAAATATAAGTTGTCATTTTTTTTTGGTTTCACTTTATGTTGTCTGTGTGAATTTAGATGACAGTGGATTTATATGGAGTAGACAGTGTCTTGAGTTGCTCCTTACAGGTTTTCTGGGCTCGTCCACCTCTCTGATACTCAGGTTCTCCAGAGGAATGATCCCACGAGGCTCTTTATCCTGGAGAGACACACACACACACACACACACACACACACACAGACATTCAGCATCAACACTCATTCAGAAAGCAAATGTCCCTTTACCACCATCTAAGATGAGGACCAGAACGAGGACAATATATAGCGGCAGTGAGGAATGAGCAATGACATTTAAAGTTACGACTTGCAACAGCTACAAATAAGAAAACAAAAATATTAAAATATAAACTTTTTTGATGCTACATGTAGCATCTTTAATTTGCACTGCAGCGAAGGTAAGTATTTTAACTATTATCTTTACGTTAAATTGAGCCTGACAGCGTCAAAGTAAAATAAATCAAGGTGGTGATTAAAGCACACTGGAGGTTTTTATTCATCCTGGTCATGTAGGGGACAGCACCCGAGGGACGCGTAACCCTACACTCTCCATCCTCCAGCGACTGCTATTGTGTCTGCAGGGCCAGATGTGGTGTGTGTGTGTGTGTGTGTGCGCTGGGGTGGGGGGAGACCTTGAGGAACAGCCCCATGTCCTGCTTGTCATCTTCCTACTAATGAGGGGGCACAGCAGGGGGAGGAAATGCTCGGGGACGGCTTCTCACAGCTGGCTGCGTGTGTGTGCCTCTTTGAATGTGTACCCCACTGCAGATTGTGTGTGTGTGTGTGCTGAGGGATTGGTGCGTGTGCGTGCGTGTGTGCGTGTGTGTGTGTGTGTGTGTGTGTTTGGGGCGGGTGTGTGTTAGGGATGCTCGGTTGCTGGGGTGAAGCGCGGGGTGACTCTTGCAGCGGGTTGGGGGAGGCTCTTGGCTTATGGCGTAGCAGGGGCCAGATGTGTGCCACAGACTTTGCAGATGTTTCCCATGATGCCTCATGTTAATTGCTAGAGTGAGGTTCATTTAGGTCAATGGGGCTACATCTGTTAAAGAGCAGAGCTGGAAGGCAAAGACCTCTGCCTCTGTCTTTAACTCTAACTGTGTGTGTGTGTGTGTGTGTGTGTGTGTGTGTGTGTGTGTGTGTGTGTGTGTGTGTGTGTGTGTGTGAGAGAGTGAGTGAGAGACAATGATTACATGTGCTCTTTATTTCTTAAGTTTCTTCTTTCCTTACAGTCCTGTTGCACTTTAACTATCTATAGTATATTTATTTACATCAGCTATTTCACACACTTAGCTGGACTTTATTAGACCAATATTAGAGTAAATATTTTAAAATGTGCTGTACAATTTGTACAAATTATTGGCCAGATGTGATGACTTCCTTGAGACTTGTCATCACCGTGAGTTGGCCAAGCAACTAGTGGATACTCCAGGAAGTCTCCACTCACAGCCTGGAAGCAGTTGAGCACATACAGAAACCCTCCATTCAACCACCAACTATAAGATCTTCCCCATTAAAATATGTGTTTTATGTCGGCAAGCTGCAAAAACAGCTGTCAAGTGCATGTGATACACAAACACACATCTGCCTACTTACTGTTGTGTATTCAAAGTAGTAGAGGCAGTTGTCGGTCAGAATGAACCACCTTCTCTTCCACGTCTTCACCCGGCCGCCTGCAGAGAGAAACAAACAGTGTTTGATTTCAAACTGAAGTGGTGACAGTGTTTGTGCACGTAAAGGTTAACCTTTGGGAGACCTCAGCTCCACGTGCCACATCTGGTTCTGATCAACATGTCTCTGCATTATTAGGCTCAATCAGAGGCTGGATACTCCCTCCACCAACCGCTCCCAGTCCCCAGAGATAGATGCCTGAGGGCTCGGCAGGCAAGCGGCGGGGTGGGGGGAGGAATAGTCTAGAGAGATTTCTTTATAAGAAACAAAAACTCTCCATCTGCCTTAATCTTCAGATAAACGTGGATTATTGGGATTATTGGATTTTCTGTTTATTACACCATTGGTGATGCAATGAACAATTTACCTATGTAATCAAAAAAACAGAATGTGGCTGATGTCAATGTACAGTCTGCAATATGTGCGCCATAATAACATGTCTGCTGACTTTACAGAACAAGCAGAAAGCCGCTGTTACTGATGTAATCAATATGTAATGTGCACCTGACCCAGATTTTCATTCTATACTGCTGTACAGAGTAAAATCCGACATCTATGGTGTATTATTTATGAGCAATATTTACTTGCACATGCAACCACTACATTTTTCTCACTCAACTGGAATGAGCATGTAAGATATAGTCGCCTCTTGTTGGGCAAATGTGGGTATATGTTTTATTCTGCTACAGTCAACCATAAAGCGGTCTGGAGAGCTCTTTATCCCCCTCTGCCATATGTTTCGTTTCATCCGTAAAACCTGACATTTGTTATGTCTTTCTACTGCAGGACCTTCTAATGCAGATTTATCGTTCCGATGTTTGTTTATGACACTCCAGAGAGGGAGTGCAAATAGATGTGGGAAGGTTAAAAATTATGCATAAATGTGAGGGAGTAGAAAGTCCCACACTTGTCTATTTTTATTATTAGTATTATTGAATCAGATAAAAATATTTCCCATGAGAGTAATTTAGTTATTAAATAAATTTGAAGTTCTAAAAGGCATGACAGACACAATATTTTACAATGACTGGCCATGTATCTAATATAAATGTAGATTAGATGGTAAGTTTATCAGTTTACATGCTGAATACTTCAGAATTTGCTTTTCTCCCACATCCGTCTTTGTCTCTTTGCTTTTGTCTCAGAGAACAAGCATGGCTTCACTCTGACAATTTACTTACAACATGAACGGATGACTAACAGAGTGCTCAGTCTTTGGGACCCCTCCACAGCTCACAGGCATTCTGAAATATTTTCTAAGAACGTCTAAATGACCGATTTTTATTGTCATGCTGGATGATGATGGATTCAGGCATAGCGGCGGGCTCGATCTGGGTTAACAGTGTAGGCGTTATGAGAGCTTATGGAGCTTCACAGCCTCAGCAGTGCAGCTGTATGTCATATTGAAAATCCCATCATTAAGCAAGGGCTCCTCTGGTGGAGCTAAAATTAGTAGTGTAGAATTCACTAATAGGGAAAAACTGAATTTAAAATGATCTGGCAAGTGCAGCTAGTGGAATAGAGAGCATAAGAGAAAGAGAGAGAGAGAGAGGGAGAGAGGGGGATCCGTGAAGCAGCAGTGGGAGGTATGGAGGCCTGTAAGGCAGGAACAGAGGGACAAAAATGAGAAAGGGGCAAAGGTCTCCTTTATTTCACTGCATGATCGGTCACGCAGCGGCACATATGCATTCCCACAGCGCGGATTCAAGCAGCACCATTCACTAAAGCTCGAGCATGACTGCATGTTCTGGCAGATAGCTACACAGGAGCTGTATGACGCACAGGGCCGTCTTTAATGGTACAAAGCATGAGGGGACCTGCTCAGCTGACCCCTGAAAGTGACATGCGTCAGAGCAATGCATGTTACCGTTACATGCAGAAAAGTCCAAAGTCTGCAGCAGTGTCATTTAGAAGAATTTGATTTAGTCCTTTGGTTGACTTGTTGACGCTTTAAAGGCTAATGTCATATAAATAAGAAAAAGTACGGCATATTGGGGAATATGCTTTTAAGTTTTCTTGTTGAGAATTAGCTGAAAATCAGATACCATTCTCACGTCTGTGCACCAAGTATGAAGCTAACGTTACATCCAACAGTGGGTTTTCTTAGCATAGCAAAAAGACTGGAAACAGGGAAGTAGCTTCTCCGACTACCAGTTTCCCCCATTTTCATCTTTGTGCTAAGCTAAGCTAACTGGCTGCTTGTTGATCTTCTCAGCTAACTCTCAGTAAGAAAGCAAATACAGGTATTTCCACCAATGTCAAACTCTTCCTTTAAATGTCCAGTTCGAATCTGTTATCTTGACCAATGTGAAACTGAACTTGAAGGTGAGCACCCATAAATACACAAGGTCAAAGTTGATCCATCCATTTAATGTTCATGTCAACTTTTGATTCCAAATAAGTGGCTTAAACAATCTAGACTCACCTGATCACTAGTGATTGTGATCTACCATTACATTAGTCTTTTCATTTTATCTGCAAAAACACGTTGCTTATTTGTGCATGGCTCTGACATACATGACATGGTATGTTTTGGGGATGTGGCGAGTGGCACAGAGGTTTGATGAGGTGAGCAGTTATCTTTCATGCCCAGGCTTCTTTTTATGCTAAATTAGCGCTGCGTGTGCACCAACTGAGACGAGCCCTCAGCGTCATCCAGCCTCCTCCAGAGCCACAAGAAGAACGCAGCTAGTCCCCATGCAAAATGATGAGAGAGATCACTGACCTCCAACTCGCCTTTCCTTTGAATGAGATAACCCATCACCTCACAATGCCATCACTTTTTTTGCCCAGTAACAGCTCTGATACAACAAGCCAATTACATGAGGCGGCTAGCATGTTCAGGGGCCCGGTGTGCTAAGGAGATAATGGCAGCCAACGCCAGTATGAGGACACTCTGTGATGAACTGGGTGGATGGAGGAGGAAGGAGCGTTACCTACCTCCTAATACAGAGATTTAAGAAGGAACAGCCATCACAGAACAGAATGAAAGAACAAAACACAGGGCGAAAGGGTGAAAGGTTAGAGAGGGAGTGAGGAACAAAAAACACACAAGGACACAGAAAGACAGCAAGCGCAAAATTCACAATGACAGAGAGGAGACGGAGGGAGAGAGAGAGAGAGAGAGAGACACAGAGAGAGAGAGAGACACAGAGAGAAAGAGAGAGAGAGAGAGATCACAAAAAGGAGCAAGGAGAGACAATATGAGACAGAATGAGAGGAGGAGAAGTCATGTGATGTAGGACGAAGAGAGAAAAGACACTTTGCAGTTGCGTCACAGATTTTCTAGCAAGATATCAGGTGCCATTATGAAGGTGGACAGTTTCCTGGGCAAAAATGGGCAGAAATCATGAGCTGACTAAAAAAAATTTTTTTCTGAAGTTCTTTTTAAAGTCACTATTAACATTACAAGTCAGTAATGTTCCTGTTTGTGGCAGGTAATGAATGGATTGATAGTTTGACGAGAGTCAGCTCTGTTGAATGATTGGCTAGCTGTGTGATGTGTCATAGATTCTCTCAATATTTGATTGTGGAGCTGAAACACATCTGGCATTGACCAAAGAAACGGCACAAACTCATGCATCATAGTTCACAAAAAACTTCATTTGCAAATTTACTGAGAACAAATTCATTGATTGCAGGAGTTCCAGTCAAAATTTTCAGAAATGATTTTCTTCTAAAAATGTTGCTGTTGTAAACGCTGGTGTAATCGAGCCCTTAATGCTTAGAAAAAGGTAAATTTCAGGCTTTTCCAGGTGAAATTGGTGTTAGCATCAGCTCATGATAACTGTCAGCATATAACCTGCATCTTTTCCTGTTAGTAAAAATGTAGCACAAACAGTGACTTAATGTTTAAATCTAATAAAACTGAAAAAGTTAAGTAAGTTAATCAGTTATTTGTTGCTGCCCAAGAGCCATCGCCCTTCATCATGGCCACCTGGAAGCTCATCGTACACAAGTCACACACAAACAAACACACTCCACCAGGGAAACGAAGGTCACTGCTCATCAAACTGACGTTGAGACCCTCGTGACTTAAAGCAACATAATCAAGGTTCCTTTTTGCAACTCTGAATGCACATACCAAGCTTCAAGAGCCAGCCTTCTCTGTCCGGGTTGAAGAATGTGTGCGTCAGATCATTCCCATCATCCTCTGGGATTTTGAAGGGCTCGTTTTTGATGCTGTCGTAAAGGTTCTGCAGAAAGGGGAGGAAAACTATTAATCATATGGGGAAACAGTGGAGGAAATGCCTGAGTCGTATGGAGTGAGTGTGACAGAACGGTCACAGAGATCAGTCATCACACACACAAACACACAATTGTAGACAAATCCTAACCCTGAGCAGCTCCTCTGGCAGATCTCCTCCTTCATTAATGCCTCTGTTCATGGAGATAAAGCGCTCCACGGGGGGTTTGTCTCTGACGTTTGGGTTGTGTAGGCTGGTGTTCAGCATGATGATAGCAAACGACAGCACGTAGCAGGTATCTGAGAACAACAGGGAGGGGGAAAAAAAGGGTTACGAAAGTGTAGGTCCTGCCACAGAGACCCCGTTTACACACAGTATTGATGATCTATATAAGAATAAATCTGTAAATCTTAATCTTTGTTTACCAAATATATGGTCATATGGCAAAAATTTAACATACAATGCAGAAAAGTGTAACATTGGAGCAAGTAATAACAGACAATGAAAAACAGGCTTCACACCAAGATCAAAAAGATCATCTAGTTTATTCTTTCTGTTTTACTGTGTGTGTGTGTGTGTGTGTGTGTGTGTGTGTGTGTGTGTGTGTGTGTGTGTGTGTGTGTGAGAGGGGTGCAGGTCTGTAGTCTCTCTGTACTGTGTGTTAATGTTCAGACTCACACGGCCCAGTGGCTGCCTGTAAATGAATCATTCATTCCACTCTGTCTGTCTCCTCACACTGACACACTTTGGTGCTGGCTGTCCTGCGCTGCTTATTGTCTGCCTGCACACATTCTTTATAAAGAATAAAAAAAACACACACACACACTGGAGCTTTGCACACAGCGTGCACTATGGGCCAGGAGTTGCTGGTAAGAGCAAGAGGAGTGTCAGTGTTTTGAAAGAACTGGTCACGATGAAGCACTGAGGGAAACGGCTGCTCATGACCCTGGTAATTAAAGATCTGTGATACTTTTATAGGCTCGGTGTGGGGTAACTGCCACACACATGGTCCTGTGCTGATGCTCTGCCCTGCGCGCGCGCACACACACACACACACACACACGCGCACACACACACACACACCCACACAGCCTATGTGCAGATTATGGGATGACTGAATGCACGTCGTGTCATTGTGGAGGCTTTTATGCTGGAAACATTAAATCTTATATTTCTATAATGTTTGTAGCTTAACCACCATACATCCTGATCTCATAGCATCTGAATTTGCTCAACCTCGTCCCTAAGCAGGTAATAGATTACCTGAAGATCACCAAAGTCTGGAGTATCCCTTCACACTGTAAAATGTCTTGAACACACAATAGGTTGCTCTAAAACCTTTTTAATTATGTACTAACTGTTGTAGTTGTCGGCTTTGTTTATCATAAGTATCACTTAGCCAGGTTGAGTCTTCCTGAATAATGAATGTCCCTTGTTTGTTGCCGGTTGTTTTCTCTGAACTCATCTGCTGCAGTGAACTGGAAACTGTAATCTGGTTAATCCTCACTGAACATTAGATACAGTAAATTATGGTTTAATGATTGAAATGCATTAAAAAAAAAAAAAGAAGAAAAAAAACAGGTCATCCTATTATAAACCCTCAGGCAGTGTTTCTGTCGGCATGTTAGGCCGGACCGTTTGTCACTGCACTGATTTGGATTTCACACATTGCTCATAGTGACAAACTGAAGCCCAGCTCTGTTTAAGAGTATCAAAAATAGGCAGCAAGAAAGTCTAAACAGTTATAAGTAATGTGTGAATGGATGAAATAAGTTAAAGTAATAGTTAGCTGAAAGTAATTGATAAATAAAAAACTGTTGATATTAGCTAAATGTAATGGATAACTAATGTAACCGATGGTTCAAAAGTAATGGGAAAGTGGTTGAAATAGCTAAAAAGGACTGGATACACAGTTGTAATAGTTTAGTAAAATAATGATTATTTGTGGAAATATCTATAAATAAGTATAAACGGATTTGAATAGTTAGCAAAAAAGTAATGGATAAATACAAACTTTACCAGCCTCATCTAAAAAGTTTAATTGTATAAATGAAAGAAAGAAACAAAACACTAATAATGTTGATTTTTATATAAACAATAATAAAAAATAAAAAAAACATTCCATTTAAATCAATTGAAATGAAGACATCTGGAACACGACAGGAAGTGTTGATGAAGAGATACTGGCCTTCATATCTGAGAGGCCTCTGGGGGTAAGTGTGGGGGTAAGTGTGGGGGTAAGTGTGGGGGTTTAAACTGCAGTAACTTGCTGTGTGTCTGACCTGTTGACTGGAAGACTCCGGGGTTGCACTGGCAGTACCGTGAGGCAAACGCCTCCATCATTCGGTCGATCTTCTGGGCTTCACCTGGCAAACGGAAACTCCACAAGAACTGCCTACAGAGAGAAGGAGAAGAGGGTCTTGATTTACGATGCCGCAGGGAGTGGGGGGGGGGGCACATGATGTTAATCACTCAGCTGACCGTAGTGCTTGGACGAGGTTGAGGTCTGCAAACTCGTGCAGCTCCACAAAAGCCTGCAGCACCTTGATGTTGAAATCATCCCTGGTGGAGAAAAAGAAAAAGGAAAAAATCTGATTTCCATTATTGTTCTAACCTCTAGCCATTTTTGAAAACTATCCAAGATACCTCTGAACACAATGTGAACCCAGAAGACCGGGTGGAGGAAAAACATATTTCCTTCATGAAAGCATTTCTCAACCTGAATTTTTTTTCCCCAGCATTCCTGTCATGTTTGTGGCCTTATTCATGCCGGATGCTGAGCAGGTCTGCAAGCAATTTAAACAGCTGGCCAGTGTTGAATGTTTCTCCTCCCAGAGGGGGCGAAACGGTGCGTTTGACTGATGAAAAACAGCTAAAACAAAACTTACAAAAGGTTCTTTTTCTCTCAGAGGTTTGTTTGACCATCAGAGGGGTTTCTGAGGAAGAATCAAAAGCCGCTCTCTGGCTGCGGTCACCGCTTCTCTGATCATGTTTGTTGTACATCAGGGTCCATGATCCTGTATTGTTTTGTATTGTGTATTGTTCCAATGAAACCAGGAATTTTCAGACTTAGTGTTTTATGTTTTTTGTGGAAAGGTTGAGAGGAGTACAGAGAGTTCTGGCTTACAAGAAACAAACAACAAAGTTGTATTGCAATAACAATCTTGGATTATTTGGAGGATGAAGTGTTTTTTCTTTTCTGACTGTATTGTACCTTATACGTCTGTCTGCAGCCTAACAAAACAAATCCTGTCCCATGAGGCTTACAGAGGTTATTGCTATAGGTACAGTTATTACAAAGAAACTCGGAAGTGGCCTGCTGTTTGGAAAGGTGAAATTAAAATTAAAAATAAATATAAACATGCCACAGTGAGTGTTTTGTATGTGACAAACGAAGCTGAATTATACAAGAACAATAAAAAGTGCTGCCAAACAAAAACTGTCTGCTAGTGTAATTGAAGAGTCAGTCGCCCACTCAGCCTGCACCATCTCCCAATATCTCTCCTCCTTCCAGCTGTTTTTATCTTCCACTGTCTCCACCTCCTTTCCATGTGTCCCCCACTTGCACCCCCCTCCAACCCCCCCCCACCCCCGTCTCTCTCTCTGCTCAGCATGTAACGATAGGTTCCTGTTCCTTGCATAAGCTTAATTAGTGATAATTACTGAGTGTAAACCCTGAGCCTGTGTTTAGTGTGATTTCCACTGGGTAGGTGGCCTCTTTGATGATCCACCATGAATAAAGCCTATTGCCAACGAGAGGAGTCCACAGATCCCCCCCCCCGTTCGCCGTTCTCCCCAACCTTCATGTGAGCCTCATTCAGAGTGTGTCTGTGTGTGCGTCACTGTTTCAGCTCCTGTCTGACTGCAGTTGTTCAGCTGATGCACCATCAGCACCTGTAACTAAGTGAATACAGACTGTGGTTGATGTGATTTCCTGCTTGGATTAAGAGTGGAGTGGATCATCCATTCTGATCCACACCCTTTTTAAAAAATGTTGTACTGCAGCTTTTAAAGGATCAACACAGAAAAATCAATATTAAACAAGATCCTTTTTTTTTTTTTAAATAATAATCCTACCTCCCACAATCTGAAATAAACTAACTTTAACCGTTAAACTGTCTGAACTTTCATATTACCACCACTCAGCTCACTGGTTTAATCCATATGGTTTATGGCAGACCCTAACGATGTGTTGCAATCAACAAATATCCAGGCAACTACAACCAACTATGATTCTTTTTTGCTAAAGGAGGTTTTCAGAGTGAAGGGGCCATTTTCTGTAAGTTTCAAAGAGAAATCTAAAGGGTTACAAAAACACCTCGGCGACATCAAATGCATCACTTCCTGTTCAATACAGAGTTTCTACTGTACAAGACTTAATGTGCAGTATCACACTACAGAAGAACTGATTACAGGTTGAATGGTTGCAGTGTGTTTTATCAACTGACGTTAATGAGGAGCAAAATGAACGTGCTGTTTATGTAAAAATGGCACTGATAGCACTGACTTTAAATACCATATCTTCTGTAAATCATGAGCAATTGATGATTTTCTCTGGGATATGCGTTGTGTGTAATTAATTTAATCCTCTTTTATTTAGCTCAGTTTAGTTGGTGTTGCCTTCTGAACACTAAACCTTTGATGTTCTTGCATGTTCAGCTCCCCTTTTCCTGGTTTTGATTCACTGTACTTTGTTTGTCATATAGTATGTTTAACTATCTAATCTCACCTTCAGATAAAACTATCTATCTCAATAGTCTTCTGCAGGAATCCCCTTCTTCTTCATTACCCAGCAGTCTGGCCACAGATCTGAGGAGCTGGATTGCCCTTTTATTACCAGTTATAAGTCCACATCGGTGGACTATGACAAGACACCCACACTGCCTCAAAGATTCATGTTGAGGAGGAGGGGCAGGGTGGTGGGGTGGGTCAATCATGTTCTCCCTCTTTCGTCAATAAATCCAGCCCATAATATCCTTCTCTAATCACGGAGGGGGCATAAATCCCATGTAAGCAGGGCTTTCTCCCTCAGCCTGACTGATGCTCTGTCTTACCGCTCGCCTAAGTAGTCTCCGATGACGGTCTTGTTGAGACCCTCGCCTTTGTAGAGGAACTGGGCGATGTCTTCGGGAGTGTGCTGAAGGAGGTCGTTCTCCAGCAGGAACTGGATTCCCTGGAGACAAAAGAGGAGAAAACAGGACGGCTGTTCATCTCGATCAACTACAGATGGATGGAAAATAAAAGGATTTCTTTGATGAGAATTGATTCATTTCATTTCATCGAAAGGCCACAGAGACACTGGAGCCTGTGAGGCTGGTACAGGACTCAAAAACAAAAGCAATACCTTCTTTGGATCCATGTTGAATTTCTTCCTGCCCATGGCGATCTGTTTGTTTCTCTGGGATGTTTTACTGGAACACAAATACATAAATGTCCAGCTTAAAATAGGTGACTCCACATTCTCACCCTAAAAAAAAAAAACCACTGAAAACAACAGGACAGTCAAGTACCTGAATGTTAAACACAACAATTACACTTTATTTATAGTTACAACTGGGGAGATTATTTCCTGCCACATCTGTTCTACTCATTATATGCTTGTATGTTCATGCTTGCATCTAATCTGAAAGACATATGCACATGGAGACAAATAAAACCCCCACTGTGCACAGACTAACCCAAATGTATGTCTGTGTGTGTGTGTGTGTGTGTGTGTGTGTGTGTGTGTGTGTGTGTGTGTGTGTGTGTGTGTGTGTGTAATGCAGGTGGGTGATTAAGTGACAGATGAGAAGACAAAGTAGGAATGACAAACAGCACACACTGTGGACACACAATGAATCACTAAGGAGAACAGGCCTGATTGATTTATACTGGCATATATTGACTGTCACTGTGTGGCCAGACCCTCACATGTTACCGTCACGTTGTTCGCATTTCATTGACCAATGGGTGTAAATAGTCAAATTTATCTAAACACACAACCAGCTGAGTCTTCCAGATAAATTCACATCCTTCCCAGGTATTTCCACTTTATTCACATCCAACCTGCAGGTTATCATTCAAAACAAAAAGCACATGCAACATGCAAATCTCAAACCCAGCTGAGATAGAGGCAATGAGTCAACTAAGAGCCATAAGTCCACTGGCTGCTATTGATGGCTGAAGGTACAATTCAATGTCCTACATAAAAATCCTTTTCAAAAGATGGTAATATGTTTTGATTCAGCATCTTTAATAAACACAAAAACATCTTTGATCTGAATGTATGTGAAAATATTCAAATTCACAATTAATTTGACATCTGTAATATTGATTCTCTCCCTATTTTCAAACCCCACGTCAAAACACGTTTCATCTTCAAACGTTCTCTATTCTGTTTAACTCCAACAGTTTAATCATATTTATTTTCATGCAATTACATTTATTCTAATTTGTTATGTATTTTATGCCTTGTACTTGCATTTTATCTTTTACTGTGTGTTGTAAGGTGTCCTTGAGTGCCTTGAAACACACCTATAAATAAAATGTGTTATTATTATTTATTATTATTAATATAACAGTTCGACCCTATTATATCTTCATCAAGCTTTCAATGTTCAGTTTTTGTCGACACTGCCATAGAGGTGTTCGTTGAATGACATGTTTGAGTGTTGAGGTCACAGTTAGTGATGTTGTTGTCCTGGACTGCATTATGTTGAGAGGTGTTTTTGATATTCTGATATTTAGATTATTCCCTTTTAATATGATAAACTGAGTTTACACATCTCCAACCATATGTTAACAAAACCTTAAAATTATAAGCTTCATAAAGGTTGAGTTTATAGCAGAGCGGTTGTAATGGATTATAGATTGTACAATCTAGTACAAGCCACAAAGCGCATAGAAATACTTGATGAATGCTGTAGACATCTTACACTGTACACAAACTACAGACTTACCTTTCTCCGACGCACGTCAGCTGCTCGATCTCCGTCATGACCTCTGCTATCTCAAACTTCAACCTCTGAGAGAAGAGAGTGAGAAAAAGCAGGATAAAGCACAGAGGAGCGTTACAGTGTGCGACTGTACGCAGTCGAATATCATCATCACTTTTTTTTCCCCAGCAAATTGGGAGTGCAAAGATGTACCGCTGGGGCAATTTGCATCATGCAAATAGACCTACAGTGCTGCAGTAGATAGGCAAAGAGAATTAAAAAGGTCAAAGATTAAAACTGAATTTAAAAAAAATTATAGATGTATAAAGTTTATTGCCAAAATAATTTGCTTTCCTACAATACAGTATCTGCTCATATGCACCTCAGTATCATACACACCTCAATATCATCGAGCAGCTCTCTCTTCCTGCGTCGGATGTTTGACAGCTCATCCCTCTCCTCCAGGGACAGATCCTCAGGAACTGAAACACACGATGCAGAAAACACAGCAGACCTTCACACTCATTTCTACACAGCTCACATCCCTCTATCCAACAGCTCTCCTTGCTCCCTGCACAACAGGAAAAAGGGCAAAGATCACAGGGGCAAAGACGAAGGGAAACAGAAGTAGTGAGCCCTAAATCCAATCTAGTGGCTACAAGTTCTTAAGTTCATGAGTTCACAGCAGAGATGGATTCATCCTTCCACACACACAGTGAAGTAACAGGAGTGCTGCCGCTACCGCATCGACTGTTTTCACCTTGTTCTGCCGGAGCAACGCATATCAGGCGCCTGCATGTTCGTCTTAATTAACTAGAGAGAGGAGGCGAAGGATCTTAATTATTCCACTTGAAAGTGTTTTACCCCTTCCCTCCTTCTCCATTTGGCTCAGGGGGAATTCTATTAATAAAACCAATCCAGATTAAGTTTTCGTTCATTACATGTGAATTTGGTAATTTAACACGGCCTACAACCCTGATTCCCCCGGCCGTGAGGCTTTTACAGCTCCGGGCAAAAAACTGAGCAAGAAGGGAGTATGACTCGCTTTATACTCGCTGCTCCTCACCATCTTTCATTCTCCGCCTTTTGTCTCTGTCTCAATCTTGTTTTTTAATCTCTACTTCCCTCTCTCTCTCTCTCTCTGTTTCATTCCACAAACACACACAGACACACACACACACACACACTTTATTTCTCAATTTTTCCATCTTTCTGACGCACAGAGAGCCCATGCAATCTCGCTTCATTAAGCCAGCTTAGAGGCAGAAAGCGCATATCTCTCAACGGGAAAACAGCACGTCTAATATCACAGCTTCAGCTTTGTGCCTACATGTTGCTAAAGGAGATACACACACACATATATATATATATATATATATATATATAAAAAAAATCACTTGTTATTTTCCATTGCAGGCGGGAGTCTGCGCCAATTAAAGTAAAAAAAGGTCAGTGGGCTTATAAGAGGAAGCATTCAGCCCACTTTTAATTCGACAGCCTATAAAAGAGTTGAGGGGAGCCGAGTGTTGTTATGGATGGCATTCAAATTAACAATGAGAGAAAAGGCACTTCCTGACCTGCTTATGTAATTCTGAAGCACCGTGATGAGGGTCAGGTAAACAGCAGGAGAAACAGCTGAGGGATTTCCTTTGTGGGCCGTGTTTTTAATAGAGAACAGAGGGGGGTATAAAGTATGAAAATAAAGACGTTAATTAGCGTTGCTAACCTCTGGCTAAATCACAGCACTTCAGCAATACAACTGTGAGTGCTGCGAATGAGGCTTTAAAGCCAATTAGTGCTCCTAAAAAGTTTCCAGACTGCTACACAATTCTTTAATCTTTTACTTGAGGAATATTTTCTGATTTTTTTTTTTTGGTCTACATGCAATGAAATTAGGAAGGAGCAGTAACCTGGGAGAAAGACGTGTTGCTGCGCGGGGTTGTCTCCCTGCAGTCTTGACGCTAAACTAAGCTAACTAGCTGCTGACTGAAGCTTCATAAGTAACGGACACATATGAGAACGGTATCAATCTTCTCATCTAACTCTCAGCAAGAGATAAAATAAGGGTAATTCCAAAAATGTGGCACTACCCGCTGAGGGCATTAAAAGTAAATGTCAAAATTTTTGACTCAGATCCACCCAGTCACATTTTGACAAAGCCTGGACGGTTGATGCATTTTATCTAAAAAGACAAAAGTGATTGGCCTGAGGAGACACTGTAATTAAAAAGGTCAAGACTTCAAACTTCAAAAGGTTGTTACTGCCACAACACTGCTCCAGTTTTGATAAAACTAAGAGATGACACATCATGGTACTAAATGGCTCAAGGTTTAAGCACACAACTTTTCAATTCTGTCATGAATTGGTGTAACAGAGATAACACACACATCGGACTATATTTTCTAGACTGATTAATCGATCAAAAGAAAATTAACAAGCAACAATTTTGATCATCTATATTTAAGCTAAGTAAATGTATCTAGTATTACAGTAGATTTATGACTAAATACCTGACATCCTCATGCTGATTAGCATATAACAGCATGTTAACACACTAAACTAAGGTAAACATGCTAAACACTTGATCTGCTAAACATCAAACTGTTAATGCTGTGAGCATGTTAGCATCCTGGGTGGGTGTTTTTTTTTTTTTTTTTGCAAAAAAATAAATCAGGATTTTGATCAATAGTGAAAAAAATCATTAGTTAACTTACAGCCATAATATTAGGATTCTGTTTTGAAGTAATTTGCCCAGAGGAAGATAATGTGCACACAGCAGACAGCTTCATGTTTTCCATTTGCCTGAGGCCTTGCATTAGCTAATGGAGATATCCACTGGCTGCAACAGTGTGCATGATTACAATCTTCATTCATTACTAATCTAATGAAAAGCAGAGGATGCACACTTTAATAAAAGCCCACCACCATTATCCTCCAATCCAGGCCTCTCTTACTAGATCTGGAGTATGTTTTTCAAACTACACTGCGGTAGAAAATCTTGTTTAGTGTTGGGGGGCTCTTCTACAGAGGTGGTCCACCAATTACATTATTAACACACTTCCCCCTGTGACCTTCTATGGCTGATTCAGGAAATGAGTTTAGTGTCTTCAGCAAGCACAGAGGGAGTCATGGGGCCAGAGTTTGTCACTACTTTCAAACCAAACACAGCCACGCTTGAATGATAATCTACTAAAATCAATTATGGTGTGAGTCATTGCTTCATAGCAAACAGAAGACCCAGGGTAGGATAGTGGGGTAGCTGCAGTTGGTGAAGCGCTGATTTAAATGGAGCTAAATGTGCAGGGAACTCGACTTGAAACACATTTTAATCTCTCTGTGACTTCTAAGAGAGATCTAGTGTATGAGAGCTCAGAAATCCAGTGTGTTGAGCTGTGGGTTGAGAGGGTCCAAAGGGTTTAAACTCCAACATGTGCACCAAAGAACAAGAGGTTCCAGTAATTTCCCCCCTAAAAACAAAATCCCTCAAAATCTACTTTTAGGAGTAAATCCCCTGCTGCTCTTCACACCCAAAACTAACAACTGTCCCTGACCACCCACTGAAACCAGAGGCTTTAATGGCATTTAAACTAATGCAGGGATACTTTGGCGCACACACACCATCACCAGTCTCCATCAGTTTCATAACTTTTACAATGTTTATTTTGGGCTCAAACATTAGAAGCCCCCTCATAAGACTGGACACAGAGAAGGATATTATTCAACAGGCCATTCAAGGACTTCCCTACAACCAGCAAGGTCCTCGGAGCACATGGAGCTCGGAGTGAAAATCCCACGCTCACTTAACACTGGCTGCAGTCCCAGTTTTCACTGACTCGTGTGTGTGAGAGAGGATTTGTCCAGATCCACTGGCTTTAAACTAGCGACTTTACCTACTGTAATGTCTTTTAAAGTGGATGAGCTTTAAAAAAAAAAAAAAAAGATAACCCTGTTACCCCGCTTGGCACTGCACCACAATGGGACACATGCAAGGAAGTAGGAAGGCCGGGGGAAAGTTGCTCTGGACCCAGACTCTAATCTGAAGCCCGCCACACTCAATCCCTCTAACTGTAGACGAAGACATGCTCTGAATTACAGCCGGGGTCATACATACAGACAGACAGACGCGTGGATAGAAATGCACATGAGCACATACACACAAAGGCCAGCTGGTGTTAATCCCACGCATTCGCCCTGCCCGCCACTCTTTAAGCCCAACACGAGTCTGTTAGAGCAGAAGTGTGATGTATAACATCATATACACAGATGTTCCCGCCGACTAGCCGCTGCCTGACGTTAACCTACTTTGCCTCCGTGATGCAGGACAAAATTACGTGACAGTAAGTGTAGCAGCAGATAGTCTGGTGAGGCTGTCAGCACAAAGGCCAATGTGAGGGGAAAGAGGTTGTGATACAGAGGGTGAAAGGTCGCGCACGAACAGGCGTCTACATGCATGTGTAAAAAGCACGCTGCTATGTGGCGATAAGCAGCAGGTATTTAGCGAGACAAAGACATTTCCAAGGCCAAGTTCATCATGATAAATGGCTCTTCATAAGGTTCTTATTTCATTTCCTTCAAACTGCTGTCAAAAACGATTATTGATCTGCCAATTAATCCCTTCAATTAATTGATTTACTGTTCGATCTAGAAAATGTCAGAAAACCTTTTTTTTGTCCAATCCACAGTCCAAAACCAGAAGATATTTAATTTACAATTCAGTTTCAAAATTTCAGAACCGAAACAATATCTCACTGTTTTTACTTGAAAAATTCTTTATATCAAACGATCATCAACAAACGTTGCCCATTTTCGTTGTGTAGATTAAATAATTCCATTCAGATTGTATGAATATGTGATAAATGCATCTGATGTGGTACCTGTGCCTGTGAAAATGTGCATTATCACAGCGCACCTTGCTGCAGCCTGTTCAGTAATCATTTAGTAACGACAGTCCTGCTGCCCTCTGCGTGAGAAGACACATTTGTGGAGCTAATATGGCTTCTAGTTTTTAACTACCGCTGGGGTCACAGGGAGAATCTGGGGCTCAGGGAGCTGAAGAGCCCTCATGCTGATTGCTCTGGTTAATCTGCAGTTTTGTGGAGGGACCTCCTGCTGTGAGTGCGTGGTTGCCTAGGAGGTGGTCTGCACACCATGTCCTCCTTATATGACACATCTGCTCAGCATCAGCACTATGTCAATATTTGATTCAATGAACACTGCCAGTAGGATCTGAGGGGCTTCCACGGCCATATGCTGGAGGCCAAAGTAACTATAATCTGATGATTTGATCGGCCTGAGAATGAATTAGATGGATGCTGTTTCTTCTGGCATCCGGGCAGGATGAGGGGCTTTCACAGGCGGAGTGTGGTCCAAGTCGCTCACTGTTCCCTCATTGCGAGACATCTCAGATGATTGTCCAGGTTTTAGACACAATTTATGGGGAAACTGTAAAAAACCTCCAGGTAAAATATCCTTCACTTTCATT